CAATTATCTTCAGATGCATTAGAAACTTAAATATAAGTGATCATCTGAAACTCACAATTACCTGGATCTCTTTTCAGATAAAAACTGACTATTCTCCAGTGCTGCAGAGCCTCAATAAATGACTCGAAAAATAGCAATGTAATCATTCCTTGCAAAAGMCCAGCGGTAAAAATATAAAACAAAATGTAGTTTATTAGGCCAGATGGCATGTATACTTTATCTTTCTGAAGCCTGCATGCACCCTTTTTTTTGCAGCCTGACTCACAGTCAACCAGCTTGTTTTTAATTTAGCTTTGCTGAGGACAAACTTGCCCAGATGTACTGAATTGCAGAATTTCATACCATGCCTTGAGTATTTTCTTTTAGGAGATTAATCTGGCTTTGGCCCGAAACAAAGCAGGAGCACAAATCACATGTAGTCACAAACCAGTGCTTAAGATGCTGCTACTGAAAATCTTATAATGGAAAAATACTTTGAACTCCAACATAAAAGTTTTATTAGGAAACAAATGTAGTAATTTTTAAAGCCAACATCAGGGAAAACATTCTACTGGATAGATGGCAGCAGTGGTCCATTAAATCCCCTCCCCCAACCYAACCCTTCCAAATATGTGTAATATTGAACATTTTGGAAGGCACCAGGGGTCAGCAAAGCAAAAGACCACAGACATCACCTAATGTTGCAGATATCAGAGGCATCAACAAACAGCTCAGACTTTCCAGTGTGYAAGCTCTGGGTAACCTCTACAGGACTCCCTTCCTCATTTGCAGGTTTCCTGGGGGAATATTCTTGCCAAGTCTGAAGCTATCCAAGTGAAAGTAAACTCCATGTAAGAGAAGTGTGAGCAGGGGTCACCCTGGACAAAACCACGTGCAAAGGTCCCTGACAAGAGAGATTCCTGTTGGCTCTGTGCTCCAGATTGTCAGAGTCACCCACTAAAAGGCAGCACAGTTGTCTGTCAAACACCCCTGCACTCCCAGTTCTCCATCATCCATTGCTGAACCTGCTCTTTGCCCCGTGGTCCAGGACACTGAAGAAGATGCCAAACAGGATGCTGAACCCAATATTGTCCCCTGGCACACTTGAGTGACAGGCATTGAGCTGAGCTAATCACAACTTCGGCACACCAGCAGGTCTGCCAGTTTTCAAGCCACATCACCATTATTTCTTTAGACCCCATTTCATCAGTAGGATGTGTTAAAAGCCTCATTACAACTGAGCTCAAATGATATCACTGCTCTCTCCTGACTCAGCAAGGCAGTCTTCTTATTTTGGAAGGCTACCACATTGGTCAGTTACTATTTCCTCACTACCCCTGATGACTTATCCAGATCACCAGTTTCCCTCTAGAATTGGTTTCCAGGAGGATTTTCTCTATCACTTTCCCAGGGATCAAGGCAAAGATGATCAGCATGAACCTTCTAGTTAATCCTGAAGTGATATTTTCTTTCCTCCAGCCCTCAGGAATCTCTCCTAGTTGTCACAGCCTTTCAGAGATAATCTAGAGTGGACTCACAACCTATATGTTGAATACATAAATAGAAACACTGAATAATAATATATTCACAGAATACACAGTTTCTCTCATTCCCCTGCATTTTGACAGTAATATCAGTTGGTTATATGAAACTCTACAAAAGCCTTTGCAGTTGGTGAGATTAATATGAACAAGATCAATTGTGTTTCTTCTTGTGTTTGAAATCTCCTAGCATGACACAGGCACTGTAAGAAACAATAAATGAGAGAAATAAATATTTCCACCACATCTATAGGGCAGTTTCCAGATTTATGCCCTTTTAATTTACCATTTGTGCATTCATAAGCTTCTTTTTCTCTGAAAAACAAAAATCCTATATTCTTCTGATACCAAAAAGTGGAGGAAACTACCCAGAAGCTATTTTTTTTTGRAAGCATTTATTTGACATTTTCTGAATAAAGGTTTCCATATATTTTAATAGTATAATATAGCTRTGTAAACTGAAGGGCACAGTTATCCAAACAGGTATTTCAAAATATGTCTTGCCTGTAGAGCAAAGACAAAAACTATATGGTGATCTTGGCAATGCATATATATTAAAAAAAAAATTATACTTGAAGATATATATATAGACATAAATTTATAGATATATACACGTTTATTTTTTTATTTTACTTGGATATATTCATGCATGTGTATAAGGAAAACAAAGATGTTTTACACACTCCATTAAAAAAAGGAAGAGAAAAACAACAGCAAACTGCTGAAAGAATTATTTTTCTCATCTCCTATGAGTTCTGAATGGACTTGTACAAGTTTTACAAACATGAAAAATATTTGCGTTTACCCTAAAATGCAGCACTCTCCACGTGCAAAGTTGTAACAATCTTAACAAACTTGCCCATTTGTAGATAAAAACAGCCATTTTTACATAGAAATCACCTTTTTCTTTGAGAATTTTTCAACAATTAAAAAAAATATCAGTGTGCTCTGATTTTCATAGGAACAGATATTTTAAAAACTAATGTGTGAAATCCTTGGGCATCCAATAATGTATTTAAAAATGTTACACTATTAATTTCTCCCCCTCCGATTTGTGTTTGCTCCAGCTGTTTTTAGGCAAGGAAAATGTAAAAATTTACTACCATCAAGCTGCACCTCTGGGGCTTCCATTGGCAGCAATGCCACCCCTTCCCAGCATGCTTAGTAAGTGTAATATGAAAAAGGAAAAGAGATTCTCCCTTTAAAACAGTGTCTTTTGAGTGCCACAAACTGTTATCTGACAGCAGTTCTGGTAGATCTTACACTGCTCTTTTCTCATCTTTACAGAACACAAAAAGGTGGCACAAATAGTGGTTTATCTACAGGAATCTGTTCCCACCCAAAGACAGAGATACTGCAGTATTATCTTAGTCTCAAAGTAGTGATGTGTAAGAATCACAAGCAGGGAGCTGGCAYTTATCTGGGAAATGAAGGAGTTTTTACAGACACACAGGACACAGAGAAGTGCCTGTTTCAACATCTGCCTCCACCCAAAGATGCTGAGTAGTCACAGCCCCACAGTTCTCCTTTGGTTTGGTTTGATGCTCATAAATCAAGGGCAATTGATATCATTTTCTCACAAAGCGTGAAAAACTGAAAATGTTGAAGAGAACGTACTGGAAGCAGCCATGCTGATCTTCTAGCAAGTTTCCATAAAATGCACTTAAGAAAAAAAAAAAAAAAAAGAAACCAAATCAATCATCCAAGCAATTGAGTTAAAAGCAAATTAGAAATGAATATTCCTGACTGATGGAGCTCTACAAAACTGCTGTTTTCAAACCAACAGTTGAACCTCTTCTTTTTTAATAAGCACAATTGGCTGGGAGTGCTTTGTCAACTGACAAACCTTTTCCACCACAAGTGAAGCATTTATTCAAATGCTAATGAAAGTGAATGTAATTTGTAGTGGTGCTGAATCAACTTTTCAAGACTGTAATTTGCGTTTCTATAAAACTCTGATTCTTTCAATATGAAATATATTTGAATAGGCTTTTGAGACTAACTAAATTGATATATGGGTTTTGCCATCAATTTAAAACCATTTTGATTTCTTTTTGCAAGGCAACTCTAATAATACTGAGCAGCTTTTTATATTTACATGTTTTCTTCAGCTAGAGAGCAGACTCTCAAAAATTCATTAACATTGTCTGTAGCTCTTATATAGACCATTGTCATCAAATATCACAAGTTCAAGATCCAAATCAATTGTTTGTTTTACTCTGCCAGTGTAGCTCTATCCTTTAATTTACCATAACTGACCAGGGCTCCTAGATCATAACTTTCAGTGATTTAATATGCTTCCTATAATCACTAGCAGGCATGCAGTAATTCTCAGTTTAATTCCTCCATGACACTCCAAAACYCAGTAAAGAATGTAAAATTCAATTGAAAATATTGTTATTTATTACACAATCCTATCATGTCTGAAATTGGACTACTGGATTCAGTTTGGGTCTTCCCAAGTCAGATGATGCACAAGTGCAATGAATGAAATACATCCAGATATGGAAGCTTAAGTTTTTTTCTATTTGAAGAGCAAGGAAAAATCTGAAGCTGTCAGGCTGAGATGCAGAATGACAAAGCTACTCAGAAAAGAAAAAAATGTCCCTTTTATACAAGGGACATCCAGTGAAACTGAGACACTAATAAATTGGTTGTGCAAAGCCATCAACATACCAAACTGCTAAATGYATAAATATGCAATGAGAACATCAATTTTTACATTACACAAAATAAAAGTTGAAAGTATATGACTTTGTGGGAGTCATAAAGCTCAAAGCTGAGTTACAGGCAGGTCATTTCATATCTGCTTGCTCTAAGTGTTCTTTTATTCTTCTTTTTAAAAACTCAGCTAAAGAATAATAGACTGAATAGGTCTATTTAGTACAATTCAGCTCTGCCTAGGCCTACAGCTGAATTTTTCCATTCAAACAGGGTATTTGTGAGTCAGATACATTTAAAATTATCTCTGCCATGGTGTTGACTAAGGTTTTAAAAAGCACAGTCTCCAGATATATGTATATATCTGATATGCTATCTGCCTTGGACACTACTTTAGCCAAGCACAGAACCTTACAAAATATTTCTATCCTCAACAGCACACAGATATGATCATCTGGAAAGCAGCATTAGTTAGGATACAGCACAACGTTTAGATAAAACATGCAGAGTGTATTTTCCATATGGTTTATGTGACAACACATCTTTGCATAGTGGCAGTAATTGCTATTAGGCCACATAAAATAGTACTGCTGGAAAAGCATTTGCATAACATTCAGGGCAGGTTCCAGAAAAGATGGCATTTTCAGAGTATCAAGTACAATACAGTAACTAAGAGCAYACTGAGCCACCACTTAATGGAAGAGTCCACACCAAACCCGCACTGCTGTCACTAACTTCAGCATGCCATCTCCTGCCCTGTGCAGCAACATGAATGATGGCAAAGAACAAGCAGAAATAACGTAATTTCTTCACAATGAATACATTGGAACAGCAACTTTTATTGTCATGATCTAACCAGTTGAATAAAAACTGAACAATATAACCTGYCCAGTAAATGCTCTTAAAAGTGTTAATCAAAACCATTTATGATTTATTTGCCCTATTAAAAATACCCAAACAATCTGAAAGCACAAGATAAATATATTAAAATCATTACAGAAGAATGAAGGGTTGAGGAAGACATTTCCATCAGGAGAAACAGCCACACAGACATTTCTGTTGAAGACAGAAATCGTTTTGTCCCMTGAGTCTCCCAAAAAGCAGGATGTGTCTGAAGCTAACAGCTACCAGTGGATGCAGTTGATGGAAACAACAAAAAATACCAAAAAACCAAGCAAGCAAACCAACTAAACCCCATGACACRACTGCACCATGTTCCTGAGTATAAGCAGCAGCTGATGTGTTAATTGTCAGCTGTACATGGAGAGTAACTGGAGAATAAAAAGGATGCCACGGGAGTAAGAACTTCTGCTTMTATACACACACGTGCAGTTATTTGTGACATCAGGGCTGGGGGGAGCAGACACAAAGCCTCTGCTACAAAATCTGAGTCTGGTTCACACATATCAAAATATTGTTCCCATATGTGGCCTCATCATCAGATAAACTAGATCAAACAAAAATAAGTTTTGGCAAATACAGACTTGGGGGTTTGTTKTGAAATGTATTTAGAAGTGCATTATATCAGGGATGAAATTTGAGGACAAGAACATTCCCTGCTATACACATACATGCCAATCTGTATCAGGGAGTGATCCAAACTGGGAAGCTTTCTTCATTTCCTTCTTTAGGACCTCAGATAGAATGACAGAAATACCAAAGACAGAAAGGAAGAGACTTATAAGCATTATTCCTAATTACACTACTGGTAAGACCTACTTTAACTAATACTCTTATTTCCCATTTCCAGTTCTAAAAGTAAATTTGGAACATAGTTAAGCCAAAAACTGGTTTTGGAGCTCAACTTCCAAAGGAAACAAGCAGACAGCAATACACTACACATTCCCCAGGATTGATGAAAAATAGGACAAGGCTTCTGTGTGAAACAGATTCAACAGGCAGAACACACCAGCTGACATTGCTCTGCTCACAGAATTGGGCAGGACAAGTATTTATGTAGGACAAGCCAACTTCACTAAATAAGCCAGTGTTTGGAAAAGTAGTCAAAAACCTTCATCTCAGWGATCTAAACCTCCTTAGAACAAAATATTTTATTTAGTGTAAAAYCCTGATTCATCAGAAATCATGGTTGCTGATAACCAGAAATGGGGAAAGGGAAAAGTTATTTCTCTATTTCCAAATTGCCTACAAACTACTGTTTGCAACACAGCTCCTGCCTTACTCCACAAACTTATCTTGCCTGGAGACCTAATCAACATGTACTTTTATGCCCAATAACCTCTCCCCAATCCTTCACCCCTGTGCCATTCAATACCTAAGGTACYATTCAGAAAGTGCAGCCCTTAAAATGGACACGAGTGATGTTGTGTGATTTTTTGCATTTCTTATTCTGGCTTTGTAATTTTTCAAAAGAAACTTCTCAAAATGCTCATTATCTTCAGAAACTACTAAAAACGCCCATTCATTCTATTTCTGCCAATATTCTAGATTTTCTGAAAAGTTGGGAGAGAAGAGGGRAGGAAAAGAAAGCAAAAAGAGTTGCAAGAAACACGTCAATACTACTGCTTTCAGGTGCAGGCAAGTCAGCTTTAATTTAGAAGCAACAAACTGAAAAAAMCAGACATGGTTTTAAGAATTTGAACAGTTAACCCTCTTACTGAAACTGTAGTTTAAAAGAGGAATTTCTACACTGACCTTACTTCACAAATTCAGAATAGCATTAAAAAACGAGTGAGAAAATAGGCCATAAGGAATGCTCTGGAACAGATTACACAAAATCAACAGTCCCTGTCAGCAGCATAAAAGCTGCAAACCTCTTAAATATAACAGCACACAATCGTCACTATTTCTTTTAAATAACAAAGGTATTCTGTAACAAATTATGTAAATTTGATAAAAGGCACATACATAGTATTGCTCTAACAGAAAAAAAAATTAGAACACATTAAAAAAAATCCCCTGCTTAGGTTTAGGAAATTTAGTAAAATCCACTCTGGATGCTTTTCTAAAAGAAACRCCGGAGTAGTAAATCAGCATTATCTAATTACAGAGAGACACAATTCAATGAAGAAAAACATAGTTTCTACTGCAGGCCTTTTCCATGTCCGTGACTCTTGTATCTCAAAAGTTCTCCTTGTTCAGTGTCACTGAAAGAAATACCTTCTCCTCAGGTTACACACAGTGTTAAGTTTGTTTGAGCTCTGGGCTTTGCACCATGCAGTTATAAATTTAAGAAAAACCTGCAATCATTTTTTGTGGTTCTAAGAGATCATAYTAAAGCTCACAAGCATAACTAATTACCATTAAATAATCCAAATATTTTAATTTTGTAGAGGATCGATAAAGGAGAGGAGAAATGCATGGATACCAGCTGTATATCAGACCCTGTAATAGACAATAGGAAAGGACTCAGCTGTCAATAACCCAAAGGGCACCATGCAATGACCTGCACTATTACCAAAATGGTCACTGCARTTCCTGTATTGCAGGATACAAGTGGCATGAAAATGAATACCTGTAAGAGGTAAGGGGAAAGCTGCAACTTGCAGTCAGAAAAACATTGCTATTCTGTAATCTCCAAGAACTTYCAAGTGGAACAGAAAACCCTAAGTCCTATCTGAGAATGCACATGATATACCAAGTACTTTTTCCAAACAAAACATAGCCAAAAGACGGTAGTTAAACATTTATCTTTACTACTGCAATACGGGTAGATCTTTATTTTATGAATAATTTTCAAAAATATGTAAAGCTGATTCACTGATGCAAAATGTTGACATTTGCATTGTCTTAATCATTTCCATAGAAGTTTAAAATTGGAGTACTTCTRAAAAAGAAGCACTACTTTTCTTTATGTTCCCAAAATAAAGAAATGCAGTTTGCAATTACCGTAACCCACCTCTCCCATATGGAGCTTTTTCTGTAGAGATTACTCGATAGAGATTAATATAACCACTTTGCTGAAGTTCTGCACAAAGTTTTAGTTGTTCTCTTCCAAAGTTATTTAAATAATCATTGCACAGGTTATATCATAATCTGAATTCCAGGCATTACACTTTAAACATATGATTTTATTCCAACTGATCAGCCACATTTTCCCATTTTTTTCTTCAGCTGACCTACCAATTAACTAGTAATCTCTAGAAAACCACAAAAATTGCAGTAAGTGATGTAGTTCTGATTATGTGTAAGTCAAAGCAAAACAATTATCCCCAGAAAACAAAATATGATTTATCTAAAACATTCTTTCATAGTTTACCTTTAAAGGTCTAAGCATGACTAGGAACTGAGGACACAACATGGATGTACAGAAGTTAGAAAATGCAGAGGGAAGAGAGCAGGGCTCTGAAGAGATGCATGAATGACTTACTGTTACTCTTCTACCACTTTATACTCTAAATGCCCCTTGCCAGAAAGACCAGACACTTCAATAATTTGCTTTAAGCCACTTCATTTTTGCAGTGGGTGGCCATATGTAAGGGCAACTAATTTCAAAACACCATATTTTACTATGTCTTCAATTTAAAAAGGTTAATTTAGYAATCTGAGAAAGTATTTACTATGCAATATTGTTCCATCAACCAAATTAAATGCAAGTGGTGAGTTTGCTTATAAATTAAACCACWAACATTTCAAAGACAGGAATGAAAACAATTGCGAAAGAATTATGAAGGAAGATCTAATAAGCATTAGAATGGTGTGTTGCAGATTTTGAGACATGGTGTAACGATGTGATGCAAAAGCTAAGTATTTTACAAGAAGTTTGAAGCTGAAATTCTTCAGTAACCTTTAWGTGCAAGATCCTGGACATTCACTCCTTTTGGCAGTTACCATCATTGTGCAAGATGAAAAAATATAAGCAGTCTCARAAGTACTCAGGAAGTGTTGAAATAAATCTTGGCAAGTCGGCAATGTATTTCTTGGTGCACARATTAGTGTGTAACATATTTACTCTGTAGCTTTTTTATGTATACATTATAGGAAAAGATACATGAGGCAATGTCGACATACAATTATGCCTGCACAAGTGTAGAAGTTTTTAGTTCATACAGCAGCCCTATCTTACGAGAATCAAGGCACTGAGACAGTCCATTATGTAACATCTCTAAAAAGCCATACACTACAAAGGCCAGCCTGGTTTGTTGTCATTTAAAAGGTTTCACATTCCTGTTCGAAAGGTCAACAGAGAAAGTTAACCTTTGTGTGACTACAGACAGAACTTTTGACAATAACTTTTAGTCAAAAACATATGTGTGAAAGGAAATATTTTGTATTACAAAGGAATAGGAAAAGCTAAATATTTAGCTCCAAACATCCTGCAAATATCGTTTTGCTTCTCGAAGCATGGCCAGGATTTTCATTGCTTCCAATTTGTCAGCTTCCATTTCCATGCGTAAAATGTCTACTATGGCATCACTTACATCATCAGCCATGTGCTTCTTATCACTGAAAAATAAAAAATAGAGGAGGAAAATGCATAACAGTGTATTTTTCCACATCACAATAGCTTCAGTGGCAGGGCAACATAGGAAAAAATCACTAAAAAAAATCCCAAATAAACATATAGCTTTTATACTGTACACTATGATTTTCACAGTTTACATGTAGCTGAGCAYTGACAGTAACTAGAGTTTTGCTCAATCAAAGACTACAAAGTTTTCAGCATGCTGTAATTAATAAGTAAAAAACCTTAAAACCCTAGTTGAGCTGTCAGAGAATAATTGGTTTCTTTTAGGAAGAACTGGACCTGCTGAATGAATTTTTATTATTATATCAATACATGGCTCCAACATTAAAAAATAATACAACAAAAAATGCTACCAACCCTCTCAATTATTAATAATGCTATTTTTAATACAAATAGCTGACACAACTGCAGGAGAACACAATCAACATTGGGCCCTACGTTCAAACAGTTTGTCAATTTATCAACAAACTTTAAAAAAATTTTAAACCTCCAGGTAAAATAACAGCCACAACTAAAACTTCCCACTGTAAAATTKATTACTACAACAGAGCTTTAGCATTCTGGAGCACCCAAAGCTGGAACACAGCAGAAGACTATTACTATCTCACAGCTGAGCAGTTTCTCACCACATTTTTTCATATAGCTCATTTTTCTAAAGAGAAATCTATTAGCTTGAAACCTCCTATAACTCAATTGAATACTGAACAAAAAAAAAGAAAGTAAATAATAAGTGACTAAAACAATCAGTGGAACTGTGTGGTTACAAGCTGGAAAACAAAAGACATAGGGATGAAACTCTGGTTTTCCAGGAAAGCTCAGCATCATATTGGTCCTTTCTTTCAGACAGCTCGAAGTCTTTCTAAAGCCTCAAATTTCTGCTACTCTCTTTCTGAACAGTCCATTTCCACTTTACTCACCCACATACATAGAAGTAACCTCCCTCTTTCAGCAGGATTCTGGCAACTTCCTTAGCATGAAGCCTAAGGACATCTTGCACATATTTAGGTGGGGCCACTTCTGCAGCTGAAGAGTCTCTCGAGAAACAAACCTTAAGATGTGTTAATGTTCCATTTTCAAGAAAATTTCTGAGCTCATCTCTGAAAAGTAATAAAAACTTGTTAGCAATGGCTCAGAGATGAGCATTCCCTYGTGAATACAAAATGAATGTTACACAGTGAACTTGCCTGAACAAATAGTCTCGATCATGATGCCGACAACCAAAAAACAGCCATGTCTCTCCAAATTTCCAGTCTGCATGTTGTTCTCTGAGCTTTTGCCTAAAGAGACAAAAAAAAATCCAATCCTGATTTATCACGTGCAGAATCTAAAATATCTACAAACTACTCTTCATTTAAAGCAGTGTTTAAAAAAAAATCTGGATTGGCAGAAATACAAAACTACTTACATTACATCAAAGTCAAACCCTCCTTATTTGATTTTCTTGATTACTCACTTTTGGACCAGCTCAATATCAATCAACTTCAAATTAATTTTTTTTGGACAGTTTCATATTGGAATAGTCAAGACTGACACATCCAAACATCTCACAAAAAAATCCTGACTGCTGAATAAGAAGATCACTACCTTTTATCCTTGACTGGAAGCCCTGTAAAACCACCTAGGAAAACTCAGCAGTTTTAGAAGGCTTTCCATTTAGGTGTAGATACCTCCTGGATTTTATGAGTAACAATTTATTAACTACCACGTCACCAGAAAAATTATTTGACTTTCTTCAAATAATGCTGAAATAATTACTTTAAAGGAGTTTTAGCAGCAATTTTCTAGTTACATTTTGAGAGACGGATTTCCTTTATACTTTAAAATAAAATGCAAACTACTTCTGAGRGATAAAAGTATATTTGGAATTAAAATTAAGGATTAAGGATGGTACATAACAATCACCCTATTTCTTATTTATGCAGTATGAATAGCAAATACAGTCAGATGAAAATGTAAGTTTTACTCCTTTGAAAAACACAAAGACACACAAGCAATGCTTGTTTAGAATTAGTAAGACTGCTTACAATCAGCATACCACCATTACAAAAAGGAGAAAAAAAATTAACTGCATTTATACTCAAACCCTCAGGCTGTATTTCTAATCAATGTAAAAWGGCTGCTCTCTAAGTAACAACTTGGTACCTACCTATGTTGTAGGAAACCAATAAACGGTGAAATTCCTGTTCCTGGACCAACCATAATGAATGGGACAGAYGGGTCTGCAGGTAAGTGGAAAGTATTGTTTGGACGAGGAAAAATAGATATCTAAAATTAAATTAGATAAAAGATGATTGAGGAGTATTCTTAAGCAGTGAAAATACCRTGACATTTTTAGAACCTTCAGGATATTTACAGAGCATATGTATCCACACACCCTTTCAAATCCTGAGCTTCACAGTTCATCTTTAATGCCACACAGACATTCAGAATAAAATTTCACAGAAGTTTCTGGAATAAAAAACAAAACCACACCATATTTAAAAACCCATTAATCCATCTGGAGGAAAGCTGGGATAAACCACACAGACAAGAGTTTCTGAATAGGAAAATTGATTGCACCACAAATTTGGGAATACTGTTACAGAATGCATGGAAAGTTTGGTGTTGGCATTCAAAGGGAAGTAAAGCTAGTTTATTGCTATTAAARGCAACTCAACCTTTTTTTTGCATCATGGGCATCTAAAACTAATCCAGTCGAGGTCAGGATTTGTTTATAGTGAATTGAAGTTTACTGATAGAGAGCTTACTTTCTTAATTTTCATAGAAGTTTTACATGATTTCCGAAAGTGCATTTGGGTGAGAGGAGGCATGTAACAGCTCAAATATCTTGGAAAATGTTTTATAATCCCACTGAGAAACAGTAATTCTAATTTTCATATCTGTGACAGAAAGGAAGTCATATTTTGATAGGACCTCCATTCCTATCTTCTGAGACATGGCCAACATCATCTAYAGAAGAGATGACTATTTTTAATTCTAAAAGATTATTTAACGCTTAACAGCAGCCATAGCAGAGCTTCATCCATTAAAATCATAAACAAATATTCAATTTATTTTGCACATTAATTATGAAAGAATTTGAATTTACTTTCAATTTTAAGGAATGAGTAAGAYACTAGACCAAGTTACTGAAATTTTGCTGTGTAAATCTGAATGCTTTAACACTATTCATTTTTTTACACTCTAATTCACTACAGATACAACAATGTTAAAGAGCATTATTTTCCTGTTTTCATGAGGATGAAAAAATAGTATAAGTTTTGTTGGTGAGGAACAATACTTATACATATACTTCAAACCACACTTGAGTTAGGAGGCTATTTACCCTATTAATGATTCCAAACTGGTCATTCTTTCAAAACAGACTGCAAACAGTAAACACATTTATACTGCAAAGTGTATTCAATTAATCTAATGTATTTTTGCATAAGATCACACTCATCTATATTGTATTCTTACTCCATATATTTCTGCAATCTATGTGCATTGCTGCACATTTATCTATGTTGAATTCTAGGTTGTGCAGCAGATGGAAATAATTCTAAACTTCATCCAGACTCATTTTGTAATAATACTTTTTTTTTCTTTTTAGCCACCTCTTTTTCTTGTTTGATCTTTAATTAAGTTCAAATCAATTATAATTTAAATAAAGAGCAGATGTGAACACAGGAATAAGATATCTAATACACATATTAATCTTTGCATTAGTTTTAAAAAATGAAGATAACTTGTAGTGTTTTTTCTATTCTGTCCGATTGACACCTTGAATTATAGGCACAGTTTTCTTTTAAGTGAATTCTATGGTTGTTTCTATTTTTCATAATCAGATATAGATTAGGCTGTCAGTAGTTCTCTTTGAGAGAAGATATGTATATCACATATTTTAATTATATACTAGAATCCCARTATTTTAATAATTAGCTTACACTTAGTAACTTTGAGATCGATTAATTATACAGAACCTCTGCCACAAAAAGGAAAAGGGGTGAAAAAAATAGAGAGAAGCACCTTCTCCTAGTAGCACCCACTGTGCCAAACAGTCAATGATACACATCAGAAAAAAACACAGATGACTGTCCCCTGCATCATATTCAGTAACTTGGCCTTTGCAAACTCTGGAAGACCTGACAAGAAGTGTGAGTTTTTCCCCTATTATCTGCCATCCTTTTCTGGAAATGACCAAGTGCCTCTGTCTTGCAATGCAAACAATCACARCCATTTAAACAGTGGTAGCTTAGTCCATGAAAACATCCTCCAAGATACACTTAGGACTACAGAGGGGTGAAAAATAACTCTGGCCTTTCAGCAATGGGAATTTCACAATTCAGGTATGCATAAGAGTAAAATTTAAGTTTAGTGTTAGCAATGAAGTTCTGAACATGTGATATGGAAGTATGGTAGAACTGCAAAATTAAGGTGTACGCTGCCAAAATACTTGCACTACATTACAGCAATGAACAAAGAAACCCTCAGTTGTTTCAGTCATGCATAAATTAAACAGCTAATGACTTTAGATCTAATATTTATACCTTTTCAACTGAAGAGCTTTCTCCCTTTGCATCCAGAGTGTTTTCATAGGGGTGCAGTAGAGGTGCAACTAACTCAGCAAGCCATCCTGTACACACTCCTTTCCGTGAGACTGGTCTAGAGGCACCGGCAGGGAACTCCACAACATTAAATACAAAGCGCAGCCTTCCTGGCTGATACAAGTTTGAACTGCAAAAACAAAAATATTAAAAAAACAACCCAAAACCTCAGACACAGCTCTACAATCTTGCAGTAAGTCCATCTGCAGCCCAAACCACATCAACTGAATCAAAATTCTCAGTGTTCAGCTAACTGCATAATATTTACATTTAATGWGAAATTGTCTTAAGGCTGGACTCAGAGGCCAGTGTCTACAGAAGGGAACCCAAATTCCKAGCAGATTCATGTGTGTGTGACCTTGTTCTTGAGCACATTAACAAAGCCTTGCCAGACAAATGTTGTGTCAAATAGTCAAACAATGTTTTTAGCAATAGGGTTACAACTACATTTTATTCTTCACTCCTCTTTCTTCTTACGATTATAATGTACACAAACACACATGAGAAAAAAAAAACTGTACCTAAATAATCTTCATAATTTCAGTATTTCATTACCTTGACACTGAATAGGATCTGGCTTGTAATTTAGGAAGATGTTCTGAAGAACAGAAAAAAAAAGTATTACTTATTCAACTCACTCCAATAAAAATATCATATAAAAAGTGTTTACACTACAACAGATTACAAGGTACTTTAATTTAACTGTAATTTTATTCTAGTAACATTCAGTGTTTGTGGTTCAGAAACAGGCAATTAAGACTTCAACTCTATTTTGAATGGGTTTTAGACTTTGTGGAACATCAATTAGGGATCRTATACAATGAGACCATAACAGGTAATTTATGGGGTTCTTGGTCAAATAAAAACAACTGTAAGGTGCACAGAAGAGATGCCAGTAACYAGCAGATGAGGTGAAGCTTGAAATTTAATTTCCCCCACTTTTCCTCTAAGAGCACAAAAGCTCTCACAATAGAGATGCCTTGATTGAAAGTTTCCTATATATGTCCTAAAAGCAGATGTGCCAGTTCAGTTTCAAACCACTATGATTACCTATGTGAAATTTTGAAATCTCAGCTAAAGAACAACAGACACAGGAGTTTACTGGGCATTTTTTCAACAAGACACCCACTATATTTTTATATATATATTGCACACACATTTATACCTACATATATAAGTACATAAACAGAACTACCCTTTTTACCAGTACATGGACACCCTAACATATTTTAAAGGTGCTCTGCTACATAAGATAGTTGCTTGGCAGAGTTAAGAAAAGCTAGCACAGTGCAATCGCTTAAAGAAGACACTAAGACCATTCAGCAATTTTGGTAAATGTGGACAAGATGACTGCAAGAACACAGAAAGCAATTTCTTTGACTCATATTACGAAACATWTTGAGAAACTCTGGATTTGAAAAATAATAGCTATAGTAATTTCAGATGTATTCCACACGGTTACAGTTGTAGTCTCATCCCTTCAGTATTTTACATCAGGAACCCAGTGAGTGTGTTAGACATTACATAAATACAAATATATTGGGAAAACYATTGTGTTTTAAAGGGTAAAAGTGCAAGAAAAAAACATGTAGGCAGAGAAATTAGGAGTTGCAAWAATATGGCTTTTTTAATTGTAAGCAATTGATGAACTGATTCATAAAGACCCCAGTCCTGCAAGCACCTTATGTKTACTTTTTATGCACAAGAGTAATCCAGAGTTAATTAAAGCATTGGTATGAACTTAAGGGTTTTCAGAATGAAGGCCAAAGACTACAAAGTGTAGAACAGAGCTTTGATGCCCAACAACAATTTCAGCTTGATCACTATAGAAACTATAATATTCCTAAAGCAGTTACCTGAACAGTTATTCCCCTTTCTTGGGAAATTGAACATTTAGTCTGATGCATTTTCAAAACCAAATTGACCAAATTTAATTAAATCTAAATCAGTCTTTTACCAATTAACAGGCTAAGTGAAGGCTTGCAGCTTGGAAAAGCATGAAGTAAATCCAGGAGGCAAACATTAGAATCTCTAATAAAGCGTGTGTAATCAGAGGCTCCTTGTCTGCTGCAAAGCTCTTGAAGCCTCCGTTTTTCTGCCACATCACCCGTACATTCTACAAGAGCTCGCAAAAATGCCTGTAGGGAAGAAARGAAGGAGTGAAGGGTAAAAAGACTTGTTCATTTCAGAAAATTGTCACAAAACTGGGAAAAACTTGAGTTGCCTTGGGGACAGGAATTAGGTTGATTGATCATACACTTTATTTTCCAATTTTWTTTTTTTTTATTTATCTTCTTATGTCTGGAACAAGCTAGCAGGTCAGGAAATCCTACTTAGCCTGAGTGGGGAAAGAGACAAAAAAMCAGGCACAAGCCATTCCCTCAAAATTTCAGATTTTTGAGGTGTTTTTATTGCTCTTTACACTTTAGTTAAGCAGCTCCACAACACAACTTAATTCAAGACAAAACACCATTTGTTTAGTTACAGAAGCCAGGAAASGGGTAATAAAAATCTTAGAAGAGGTATTGCTATAAATAAAGTATGGTATTTAATAAGTCATGTAAATGTTGCTATGGAGTTTTTTGCTATTCTTTACGCCTACATAATGGTAGTGTAAACTTTTCCAAAAGGAAAATTAAATTGATCATTGTAGGATAAAGTAAAAACCACATGTAAATAGCTACAAGTTTTTTTCCAGAAAGAAAGGTGACAATAAACAGAGTACATAAATGAAAAGTGATAGAAAACACCAAGTGAAATTAGATGACACATTCTTCACAAAGGAATACTTGGAAAGTAATGTGAGTGTACTCAGCCACTGAGCTTCCAGACAATAGTTTTGAGTATGAAGCTACATAAAGCACATTTTAGGCTGAACAGTTAATACAGCAGACAGGTTATAAAAACTGGCTTCAGTGATATTCCCCAGTCAGTACTCTCTGCCTACTCTTATTTTTGAGACAAATTTTCAAAACCATTAAATACAGTTTTGAAAAGGCTGAAACAACAGGAAGATTCTCTTCTGCTGCAAAATCCACTAAATCGAGTAAAAAGGTCCTTCCAAAAACTGATTTCCCTTAGAGACTCAATCAAGCAATCGTTTATCTTCATCCTTCACACAAAGTTATTTTTAAAATGTGTTTTGACAATACAGAACTATAGATGCATTTTCAGTTGCAAGCTTTGAGTTTTTTATATGCCCAGAATGAAAGGAAAATCATATTTACAGGCTGCGAGAACAAATATTATACAAGGAGAAATCTTTCTTTGAATTCTGCTAGGTTACTGAAATGCAAAAGAAAAGCTTTAAAATTTMTCAGAATCACAGAATATTCTGAGTTGGAAGGGGCCCACAAGGATCATTGACTCCAACTCTTAAGTGAACGGCCCACACAGGGTTATAGCACCATGCTCTGGTGAACGGAGCCAATGTAAAGGACWCTGTGGTATATTTGCATACAGCAATGTGTGCCTTTTTAGCAACAGACCTTGACAGATGTGGCTTACTCTGATTAGAAAGAATGCTTTCTTTAAAATGACTATAGGCACACGTTCAGTCAGCCTACCCAGTTATCTGGCAGCAAGTTATCTAACACTTTTCTATTTACTTCCAGAATAGTCATGMATCAAGATACTTCAGGACAGCAGCGTCTGCCAGATAAAGTACGAGAAGTGACATTTCTCAGAGTAAAGTACAAACAGGAGCATACAAACTAACAATCCTTATTCACCAAGAAATATCTTAACTACACACAAAGCAAGGACCGACCTGTAAAAGCCCATATAGCATAGAGTTACTAATTTCTTTTAAAAAGAAAAAACACATAAACACCTTTTTTGGAACTGCTCTTATTTCCAGACACCAGGTTAGAAGGAATTTGAGAGTGCTTCTTTCAGGGATGTGTTGTGGACGAGATGCTCCTAGTTCAGCGGGAGAAAAAAAAAAAAAAAAAACCCAACAAAAAAGATAAAATGTGAATCTATTAATATAGAAAAGTAGCACCATATATCTCATACTTAATAGAAACCTTGTCTAGCCCTCAAAGACGCAGGGAATCTCACCATGAGAACTGATTTACCTATCAACCAGAACAACAAAGAGCCCCACACCATCCTGAAGAAATAAAGGCACAATTCAGCAGCACCATTAAGACACTGGCTGCAAGAATGGAGTAATGCACATAGGTCCAAGGCATAACCTGAACCTGCAGCTCCTTCTGAAGCATGACATGGTAAGGCTCAACAGAACAGATCCCAAGCTCCTTAAAAGGCACCTTGCAACAGCTCTAAGGCTTGTCCTTGAGGAGTGCAGCCCTCTTAGGATGTAAAACAGATTGACAGGCARTGTTGTGCAAGGAGATTTTACTTTCAAGTGGGGATTGTAAGGTTATGTGATTAAAGCCTTATCTCCATAAACATGAAGGAGCACAGAGTAAGATGAGATGGATGAACGCCAATGCCAGGCTGCAGTTCCCAGTCAAGAGCTCATCTACACTAAAACCAGAAGCAATATTCTTATGCATTCTCTTTTTTAACACATTGCTGTGACTTCCAACATGCCTCCACGAAAAGACAGCTCTGTTCCCATACTAAAGGTAAAAATGTTCAAAAGTATGCACACCAACTACTACCAACACAGAAAGGAGTGCTGGTCCATGACCAGTGCATCATTCCATACCTTTCTTTTTAGTGCCCTGCTTAACCTTTACACAAACAAAGTCATCTCCTTTTTCAGAAAGTCCCAAGATGTGCAGCAGCTCTTCCACCTCAYTGGCATTGTTGGGACATATTACACAGAAGGCATCTCCAGGTTGGTASTCAAAGACTGTGTCCTGTTTCAAAACATGAGGCATTTCTATTAATTCACATCACAAAATACAGTTAACAGCATTTCCATTCCTGCTAACTGTCTTCCTACTACTGTGCTTAYATTAAGTCATATTTTCTTTTATTCTGTACTACTACTTTGCTGTTTGGAGCACATCAGAAGCGAAATAGTCATGTTTTCCTTCCAGGCTTAACCTTACTAATTAGAAAAAATCTTTCCTTATCTGGTTTAAATATTTGGACACTCTTTAATGAGAACTGCTGAGCAGCCCAAACAGAAGGAAAATAAACATGTATTAAGAGGTTGTGTTATATAATCAGCCTAGATCATTAATTACTGATGTACTACATTTTCTGGTTTGAAAAGAGCAGAGAAATTAAGTCCTCATAATCAATGCAATTTTTTAGAGATACAACATCACTAAAAGAAAATTTGCCGGTCAAACTATTTGATGAACTCTAACAGAAATTACTACTATTGTTTTTATTTTCTGGAAGGAAAAACTAAATATAGCCAGACAAGACCACAGTGAAAATTCAAATCTTAAGACCTAATTCTACTTAGCTGCCTGAGATTCTTGTGTGCACCTGCTGAAATGCTACTCAAGCTTCTGCCTGTTAAAAGTAACATGCAGAATGATACTTGCATCATTATGTTTCCCTTATGCATCAGGTGAGTGACYTGCATACACAGACTGATAGAATGTTAGCGTGAAACAGGCAAGAAAACGCTTACATTTTCAGTGGGTGCTGATGACAGAATGCATTTATTCATACAAACACATGCAGAAAACCATGTTGCTCAGAGAATCAGTTGATCAAAACTTAATAGAATCTATTTATAACAGATTAAAGATGTGCCATGCATATTGAGACAGATTAGGCTAAGAGAGTCCAATAGAAGCTACTGCCAAAAATCACAATATTCCCAAAGCAATATTCTATAAATCCGGGAAACCACTCAAAAGCAACATACTTTCCTTTTAAAGATTTCTTATAAAGTAGTATTGAGCACACTTTGCCTGCCTTTCATCTTCCAACCAGTATACTAAATATGATCTTCACTGAAGAAACTAAACCAGTTTTTTTTAACTGAGACTAGTTAACTGAGGTTGACAGTTTGAGTAGYATGTTAACAAAGCAGAGCAAATGAATGTCAGAGGCAGAAACAGTGCTCAAGAGCTACCAATTCCTATAACTTGGTAATATCAGTGAAATTACTACTTGTGTAGATTACCCACCATAAGGAACAGTCACAATTTACTATACAGTTTCTGAATACTCTTCATGTTGTATACTTATAAACTGAAAGATTATTCACTTTCATTATTTCCTGTCTTTCTCCACTGCAAATTCCCTTCATAAAGGTTTTTCAGTCAATATGATATCCAAGGAAAAACAAAGAAATTAACTTAACATTTTGTTCCTGTTTTGACTTCTGGAGTCCTATTTTTCAGTGAATAAACCAAACTTCACATTTACAAAACGGATCAGCATAAGCTGACATCCTATTGTATAGAACTATTTTTTCTTTTTAAACAGTCAAATAAGTAATTTTTCCCCTCAGTTATTATACATAACACACATGCTTTTCACCCTTTATTTTAGCCCACTAAAGAAAAAGCCATCACCAACTCACTGCAATATCAAGCTCCAAGAGCAATGCAGTTTTTATCGCATCTCCTCTAGTGAGCTGAACTGCTTTTGTAACTGGCACTTCAAAGGTCRTTCCCTCTGAGATCAGTGAAGACAGATGTGGATTCTGAAAAAGATGACAAAAAAGTACACTAAAAATGCAAATCAGCTTTATGACATCTTACTGTGACATACAGGTGTTGGTGCAGTTTTTTTACAAAAYAATCTTGGAAAACAATGCAAAACAATAAGGAAAAACATGAATCTTCTATATACACAGAATGTTTTGCTCTTCTTTCTAAAAAATCCCATCTAAGCACTAACAGGCATATATTCAATTATAAAAAGTCAGTAGGCTTGAACAGTCTAATGGGCCTACATTATTATCAAATGCAGCGAGCTGTTTCATTTTTCAAGAACTGCCTTGCAAATAGCCAATTAGAGAATGGCATTTATGTTAAACCCCAGAAAACTCCTGCCTAATTAAAGGTTTACTAGGTGTATAGAATGGACGTAAGAATAGAAGTTACATCATTGCAGATTTACAGTTTAAGACTTTGGGGTCAATATATGGGTACTATCACAGGTAACTTGTAAGAGGAGTTTGAAATTAGAGCTAATCAGCAAACCCCACACTACAAAACAACATCATAACAACATTCCTACACGCATAAAAATGTGCCCCCAATATGACAAATGGGCACCAAGAATAATTCCAAATCACATATGTCAAAGGTTGTTACTTGAAGATCATACTTGAAGATCATTCCATCACTGAAGTCAGCAAGTTTCATTGCAGAGCAATGCAAACAAAAATAAAAGAGGCAGGAAYGATACCAAATGTCTGTAACAGCTGTCAAATRTAAAAGAATTTTCCTACCAATAAGTGAATATTCCTTAATCTGAAGATTTCTTATTTAATTAAGGAGACAAAAGAATCACTTGAGACCAACAGCTGGAAGTTTCTTTGCTCTCTTAAAATTTTGACATAATGATTAATGGCTTGGGCTATATCAAGCCACTGTTCATCAGTTGGACTGTGGTAACTGTCTACATTTGTATTCCCTCCAAGTCAAATTCAAGGCATCATGAAATCAAGACTTAAAGCAAATTGTACTATCTTACACTTCCCACAAATGCTTAAGACCATTGCTGCTCTGCTATTAGTATGCAGCAGTTTGTTAATGCAACCCTGAGACTCAACAGCCCAACACAAGACCATTTAAGTGACTGCAGAGATCCTGYACCAGGCCTTCTTTAAATGGCAGGGAGTCTCTGTTTGGAGACATCCGAACATAAATTTGATGAATTTCAAAACACACCAACTTTGTCTGTGCTTGGCAAAAAATAACCACAGCTGCTGCTGCAATGTGAGATACCAGAACAAGGATATGAATTGTTTATTATTGATACCTGCAAAACCAAACATGACCCTGCATAGGGGTCAACCCCTTGTTGACAAGGTCTACCCAACTATGTCAGAAATAGTGCCAAAGGAAAAAATCGCAAACGTGCATTTGATTCTTTTCAGGGCTCAAGACAAACAACCTGTTTTATGCCTGAAATCTGGATTATACTCTTTAATCTGTCACTGGGTTCTAGATTAGCAGATACAGTTTTATCCATTTACTGTTCAAAAGCAAAATTATTTTTTCTTAGTACATCCAGAAAAGTTAAGGGATCAGTATCAGAACCAGATGAATTATTTCAGAGAACAGTCTGAATATATACTGACTTCAGGAAAATGGGCTGTTTTAAGGACTGTAGCAGCACATTCAAGCCAACTGTTAATAGAAGAGTACATMTAAATCATAAATTTCCAAGAATTTAATTTGGATTATTAAATTCAACAGCCTGAGCAAAACCAACCACAATATGAGGTTTAAGGAAAAGCAAAATTATCCAGGGTTTAAATCCACACACTCTTACATAATTACATTAGCAAGACTAAGGGATTCTCTCATCATTTCTATTAACAGTCTCAACAAAAAGAGTGTCAGAGTCCAGAGGATACTAAAGGGCTTTTGTGATTATGAGCAGCCACACCAGAGGACTGGGCCCAGAAAGCCGATCTCAGCTCAGTACTGGTTCTTCAGTCCATGTCTGAGCTACATTACAACAGTACTTGTTGGCAGCTCAACCACAACCATGCCCATGACTGGACACACATCCTACTAATCCAGGCCTGGAGCTGGAGACCAATTTCTTGCCTTGGGCCCAGAGCTGCCTGATTCYCTCAAACTTGCCTGATGATCTGTACTCTTGGCTGATGCTGGYTGCATCTCCTGATTTGCATTCCTTGGGTAGTGGAGAACAATGCTGGCTGTGTTACCACACTCAGCTCCTGGCTCCCTGTCATTTAAAAGAGCAGCCAGACTTCACTGCTTCCTTGCATGGATAACTGAAACATCTGTCCTTTGTGGGCAACCAAAAAAGTTTGAGTCACTCYTGCCAACTGGAGATGATTCCCAGCTCATGCTAATTCCTCTCTTAGTACAGCAGGTCTTTGTTCAGCATGGCTCCACATGAAAAGCATACTGGCTTTTGATCTGCAGTTAATTTTCCATTTCCCATAGTAAAATAATGATCGCGCTTTCACAGTGACAAGTTTGGCTGTTATTAAGTATGAAGCAAGATTTTGAGCAATTTTGCAGCCTCTTAGTGCATTCTGAAAGTATTAAAAATTTGAACAGAATCTGTACAATGCTCCTCACTACGACAAGATGCTTTCACTGTTGTAACACAAGCYACAGAGGATTTGAGTTCTTGCCTTCCTGACAGTGCAATACCAAATTACTGTTCAGCTGAATTGTATCTTAACATAAGTGTCCATAACCCATACGGTGGCAGCTACATTTTCACAATATAAATGAACCTTTTACTTAAAATTCAAAAACCTCCTGCTTTTGGGGATGTATCTCCTTTATGTAAGTATCCACTTGCTCTTTTGAGCCATATGTAGGAGTATACACTCACACTTCTATGAGACCAAGAGGCTTCCATCACTCAGAGTGAAGTCCTTACCTCACCCTGGGTGTCCTGATGCTGTACCTCTATATATTCTGGTGGCAGGGCAGGAATATTAAGAGCAGTCTGAGAGAGRGGAGGGACAGAATGAACAAGTGAAGGTTCAGTGTCACTAGCTGGAGCCACAAGATTGATGTCATCCAGTTTCTGTGACAGAACATCAGAACCCCTTGCTCCCTCATCTTCTAGCTTCAAGTTCTGTACTTTGGMGCTTAAGCTTAGTTCATGTACAGCATGTGGAGCTGGAGAGAGCGAGCTGGAAACAGCAYTGACAGCGTTGTTCATGCCTTCTTTCTCTTCCTGCAATCGCAATGCTTCCTTGAGGGCAAGCCAAAGTCCATCAATCCAAGGATCAACCACTAATTCCAAACTGGGAATGGAGTGGAAAAAAAAGAAGAGAGGCATGGATGAATTATTGTGATTTCCTGGACTGTTAATTTACAAATAATGAAAGACCACAAAARCTAAAAACACTATTCACTTTCCTTTTTTAATATATATCTGCAGCTGTTACCAAAATTACTTTGTCAAAAAAAAWTATTTAGGTGTTTTGACTATGTAAATTTACCACGTCTAAAATGTGTAACAGCCTTGCACTTCTTCCAGTTTCTCATTTTTATTTTCATATGCTGAACTTTATGACAGACAGTTGAAGAAATGGCAACAGAATATGCAACTTTTGATTGTGCAACAGCAACATCAATAGCTTACACTAACRGCCCATTTTTATTATTTTAGAACACAAGAGATAAGTTTTATGGTTATGACAATGTTTGTGTTCAACTGCCTTGCATCATTATGCGTGGAATCAATACAAGCTGCAGTTCAAAATAACTAAGCAAAGACTGCAGCCTACCGGCCAGAAAGAGCAGCAGAACAGGGAGTTGTTTTCTTACATAATTCCTCTACAGCAAACAGAAAAATCTTCTTACTTCTTACTTTTTACATATTCCTAAAAAGTGATCCTTSTCCCCACCTCCATAAAAGAATAAAACAGAAATAAAAGAAAAAACAGACTACATTTTCAAACCCCTTCACTTACTCTGACTTATTTAATTTCTAAAACAGTTAAATACTATTTTTCCAGGCATTACAGATGTTTCCTCACACTTTAAAAATGGAGTTTTATTTAAGGGCAATTGACATTGAATAGGTATACTGTGCAGAACTCTTTCCTATGAAGTCCTAAGTATCCAGGTTCAACAGACTTAAAATGGTTCAGTACATTCAGACAAAKGCCTATGCAAATATTTCAGCTTAAAGAAATAGAACCCAAACCCATGCAGGTCTTACCCTACACAATCATCTGCTAAACCTGTGTCATAGAAGTGCTGGGCACCAAGTTCTTGAAGTCGTCGGTCTACTGTCCTTCCACCATTACAAAAAAACATGTACTCTGAATCTCCCAGACCTAGSAAATTCAAGGAAAGAGGAACTGTGTCAATCAGGCAGCCACCTCCCAGGCTACACAAAGACAGTACACACTTTTCTTGCAGGCAAACAGAAGAATCYGACATGTTGGAATAAGTCCAAAGGAGGACACCAAGAAAAAAGCAGGAAAATCTGCATGAGGGAATCTGGTCCAAACACTCCCTCCTCAGGAATCAAAGATCCACTGRTTTCAGGTCATGGTCACAAATTCTCCAATCAATCCACACCACTGGTTCACTATTGCTGTTGGAATTCTACCCATGAGATTTAACACTTTTACTCTTCTGATCCCCTCCTCCATCCCCCTGAGGAGGGGTTGGGGGAGTGAGAGAGCAGCTATGTGTGGCTGGGATTAAACCATAATACCACCTAATGGTGGACCATTCCTCTCTCCTTRTAACAGCCTTTTATTTTACCTTTTAACGGGACTTCTGCTTTCCCTCAAATGCAGTACCTGGAGCAAACATTTCATTGGTCCAGTTGAGATGGAGACCATGAATGYATTTTAGAACTGATAACTTGTTAAACTTGAATCACGTTGTAATTTAGACACAATTTCTGCTACGATAAAATTCAGTGTTAATGCAATACTCATCTTTACACATACACGTATGCATGCAGTCAGCTCTGAAAAACTTGACCATTTCACAAACTATAATGTGTAACTAGRAAATAGCATAACAGCTTCTCAAAATGCTACACAATCAGGATGCATATAATGCAGACTCCCACATCATATATCAAGTAGAAATTTCCTTCTAATGGTCCCCTTCCTCATTAAAATCTTGAGAAGTTTCCTCACTCCCATCTATCAATTTAAACCTGGCAGGTAAAAATAACTTAGGCTTAAACAGACATTTCTGGAGTTTATAAATRCAACTAAAAAACTCAACAAACTAACCTTACCACCAGTTCAAGATACATCGTGCATTTTGCCAAATATGTACTTTGCTTATCCACCTTTAAGCTGAAAGTACATTCCTTCTCTTGATAAATACAACATTCAAAACTAAAATATTATTGCAAATTTAAAGGGATGGGATGATTTAAGGTTTTTACTCTCAAGAACATTTTACACTGCCTTTTCCTTTGAAGAGAAAAATGCCCAATGACTCACACAGTCAAGCAAACTAATCTAGTTTACTAATCTCTGTAGAGATTTGACATGAAATTTAAACTTCAAACATTTATAGATAGCTTATATCATATGGTTTTTATGCAAAGAAAATGAAACTATAAAAATTACATTGGTAGCTTACATTCAGATAATTTCTGTGATATTTTTCCTTTATTGCTCATAGAGGACATTACATAAAAATGCTGTTTATAAAAACAAATGTTTTATAACCACTTAAAAAGCCCAAACCACCTATTCAGAAGTAAAAAAAAAATATAAAAATTATTGCCTGACAGACAAGTTCTACAATAATATAGAAAACACTAAGTCACCTAGCAATCCATACTGGAGATGTGCGAAATGGTCAGGAGGCAAGGTCTTGTCTTGAATTTTCTTTACAAACTTGCGGGCAGTGTCTGGTGGCTCTCCCGTCCCAGTAGTGGAAATAACAATAACTACAGGATCCTTTTCTGTTTCCAGGTTATACTAGGAGCAACGGAACAAATTCAATTACAAGGTGCCATTTCATATACATTTGTGGCCATAGGTACTCTATCTCCCACCTTTCCTCTTCCCAAGGGTACACAGAAAAACATTCAATCTCACCTATATTAAGCCACAAAAGGTCTTTCAAGTAATTACAAGTCATTTTGGAGATGCAACTTATGCTCTTTTTTGGAGTTCTCAAGACCAGGTTAGATAAAGCCCTGAGGAACCTRCTCTGACCTCAACTGACCTGGTTGCAAGATGACCTCATGAAACCCCTTCCAACCTGAAATGTTCTATGATCCCATATACAAATGCCCAAGGGAAGCATTTTGAGCAGGCTGGTACATACATGAAGAATACTTYACAACTGCACTCAGCTTAAATACACAGCTCCTACAGTATTTTGATTTGTCAAGCGGAAAATGTATTTTTGTATGTTTTTATATTTTATTTACATGATCACAATCACACAGCCATAATGCTTATGATTTCAGTCAGATAAGTGGGGTGTAGCCCTACAAACCGTAGGGATCATTTCTAAATTCCATTAAGAATCACTTGGTCCTGTCTAATAACCTCCACAATACAGAATCACAGTATCAGAGAATTAACTAGGTTGGAAAAGACCTTAGAGAATACCATACCCTAAAAAAACCCAGTGCTTTTGGGGCAACTAAGGTGGGTCTGAAGACTGAGAATCAGTCACCGTGCTCTTCAGTCGGATTTTGGTCCATTCACTTCTCTCTCCTGTCCTAACGCCAGTCTCCCACATTTCCAAGTGATCCCCATTATATCAGGTTGACAAGAACTGCCTGTAGCAGGGACTGTGTGTCAGTACCATAAATTTGGATCTCATGCAACCATTTATTACTGCCCAAGCAAAAAGCACTCAGAATCTTTAACTATCCTGTCTTTAGCAGGCTGCAGCACTGTCCCAGTGTGCTGCCACTGGGGTCATCTGCACAAACTGCTCTCACAGCATCCCTATGGCCTATGGGTAGTGACCCATGTGAAACACAGCTCCTCTCCCTCGTTTGGGAGTGATCTCTGGAGGCCAYCTAGTCCCACAGCATGCCCCAAGTGGGACTAACTGTCAGCACTGTATTCAGTCAGCTATAACTGGCTGAATTTTGAAAATTTCTAAGGGCAGAGATTCCCTTGTTCTGGGCAGCTTCTTYCATGCTTCAGTTCCAGTGAATTGACATTTCACTAGTGTCAAATCTGAGTTTATCAGGCAGYACCCAATGGATCTGGCCTCCTGATGTCCAGTCTGGCTCATGTAGGCTCCTACTAGATCACTCCTTAGCCTTCTTTTTGCTGTAGTAAGCAACCTAAACTCCTTCTATTGCTCCCTGTAGGCTGCAGTTTAAATTATCTCCCACTATTCCAATTTTAATAAAAATAATACAGTTATGARAAAATAAAAATTGCAAGAGGTGCTGTGTTTCACTTAGGGAAGTTTCGAGAGAGCAATTCAAATTTGAAGGAATTATGCTCTAAACACCCCCCTCAATAAATCACTCAAACTTTATCCCCTTGTCAAGCAGTGTAAAAAATTGCCTGACCCCTACAACCCAAAAAGGCTAGGAACACACAGAAACATATAAAGAGGTTTTCCCGTTGGCATTGTTTCCAAATCTTTCCTGAAGAACCTAAAAGCAGTTGCATGGTAAACTTAAGTTACTACCTGGAACAGAGTAGTAACAGCAGCCTAGAGCAGATGCCTAGAGAAGCAGAAGTGAACAGAGTAAACATGCAAGGATATTCCCCAGGTACATTGCCAGACCTCAATGAATTGCAGTTCAGGAATGTTCCAGAGGTTTTGGCTTTTATAAGTTCAGGCAAACTCCAAGTATTCAAAAAACCCTGASACTTTCAAATCTGAACTCTAAGTTGTACAAAAAAAGTCCTTCAGGGTCCTGTTGCAATAAGGACTCAGATTTTCAAAACTTCCATAGCTGATTTGRTAAGTACAGACCCAACAGCTTCTGCAATGCATTGCCACAGGTGACTACTGCATTTACAAACAAAAGCAAATTCTTGAAGTAAAGGAGTAAGGGTCTACTGGTATCACATGATATTGGTATACACTAAAAGGAGCTCCACTGAAAAACAAAAAAAGATACAAGCTCAGACAGCACGAAGCAGTATTTAAGAGCAGAGGCATGATTAGCTCACTAAATTCTTGSTTACTCCACTGCAGATTCTCATCTACAAACACAGACACCTTTTGGAAACCAAACGAAACACAGGTTTTGTAACAATTTGTGTCAATTACTGGGAGGTCTACTACATCACTACACCCGAAGAACCCAACAAAACCATGTAACTTTTCGCTCTACCTTCCACTTCTCCTATATCCTTTGTGTTGCAGGTTTGCCTCATTTTTTCTCTTTCCTTTAAAAGTTCTCCTGAGCTGAGGACAATAATGTCACACAAGAGCAGCGAGCAGCCTGCTCAAGCTGYGCATGGTTGCTGAAAGAAGAGGATGGGATCAGACAGCCAGGTTTGTCTTATCCAGAATAATACCTATCAAGACAAATGTGCTTATTCAGATAACTCATCCAAGGCTGACTACACACACTGTGACCCAAGATGATCTCCATTTAGCCTCCCATTTTTCACTGCTCCTACCTCACTTCCACTTCATTTCAGTCTTCATGAAACGTAATCACTGTAACCAACCAATGATTTATGATCTTATCTCAACCCTGAGACTGCAGGTGAGAGACACTGCTTGGAAAGAGCCAGTGTTTCTGAGACATGAGCAATATYTGACCATTCACTTTTGAATGGCAAGAGAATCACATTACTACTATTCASTCTGTACCCACCTATTCCATCCACAGACCTTCACAGCAACCCCTTTAAGTGACGACAAGATCTGACAATACCCAACAGCTACATAAAGACTGACTTTCTAACTAACAAGTAGGGAAAAAACAACTTACGTTATAAAACTTACAAAGCTACAGAAATTACCTTTTTCTTCAGTGCACAATTTTCAGATTCTGAATTTATCATTAATTCACAGCTCTGAAATGACTTGCCAAATTTGGCAAAGTACCTTTATTTAAGTGGCAGGCCAATAACAGGGCTAGAAATGTTCTGACTACCACCTTCCTGAAACTAATCCCCAAACCTGTCAAAAGCTAAGAAATTAAACGGAAGGATATAAGAAAAATCTTCACATTCCCTGCTGGCTGCATAAAAATCTCTTTGTAACACTCAACTATATATTCATTGAACATTCATTCAAAATGTCTCACATTTTCAAGTGCATGAAGAAAACTCTTTTAAATGCTATTTGCTCCTCATCTCATATGACATTACCAGGCTATCAAGTTTTGATCAGTTTTTATATGTTTTTGTTTGAGGGCATACAGYCAGGAGTACTTTGTGAAGGAAATTACAGTCTATATTGCTTTTAGGTACAGAACTTAGTTTTCACATTCTTACTCTTGGATAAGAGCAAGTAATAAWGAGCCTCTTCCTTGTTCCAGCTTTTTATTTTGTTCTAGAATATAACTTGAGTGAGTCCTGTGGGAATTGAAATGAGTGCATACGCTAAGCAACGCAAGCAGACCCACAAAAGCTCTGGGCCATGCTGGAGCCCAGAATTAACAGAACACAGGACATCAATGCAACAAAAAAAAACAGAACAAAAAACCTAAACCCAACCCAAAACAAATCAAATAGGAAAATGCGCATCATTTCTCATACCAGCAGACCTGACCTAGAAATACAGAAATCATTTACTACTGCATACATAAAAAGTTTTTAAGAAGTCACTTGAGTGGATACTGGTAGGAATACCTAATTCACAAGGAACAAAAATTTGACAGTAGATGATGTATTTTAGGTGGGTGCATCTGCTAGCCTTTATGATGAYCAAGAGGCACCAGTCAAGCATGTGAAGAAGAATGCAGATCTTCAAAACATATTTTTCAAACAGTACGGAGTATCTCACCTTATCCATTTCACTTATACAGTGCATATCAGCTTCAAGTCCATGGACACCTGCTTGCTGCCATATTTCCTCAGCTATGGCTTTTGCCTGCCCCTTTTGTGTTGCATAGAGGAGCAAAAACCTCTTTTTTGAATCACAGCACATTTTCCAAAACAGATGTTTTTTGCTTTTGCCTTTTTTACAGACACTGCAGGGGAAAAAAGAATTTAAAAAGTGAATTTCTGGTAAGCAGAACAGCAAGATTTTACTTTGACATTAAAAAGAGATAGTTAAAGATAGCAGCATTTGTGTCTAACTTGGAAATGAGACATCTGCTCTGAAGTGAAGCCATTTCTCACAACCAAGGTTTGTAGATCAGGTTGCGAAGGACACATGGTATTGGTCCCATGTGCTGTTACTGCCTTGATGTTGCAGTAATGTTACAGTATCTCCAAAATCAAGGATCTAGTTTGCAAACAATTCAATATAAAACTTCTTTTTATGAAAATACATACTATTTTTATTACATCATTTATATTTTCCATTTTCAGTTAGTGGCTGTTTTGTTCACTTTCCTGAGCTGTCTGAAAACAARACAAAACACAGACCTGGTGAAGTCAAACTACAAAGCCTGAGGAAAAAAAAAATCAAATTTTCAGTTTCTTCTTTCCTGCAATCAGTATTTTTTTAAATGACTTTACACKTTATTGTCCAGTATGTTTTGGAGCACAAACGCTGATTTTAATTTCCCATTTCAAAAAGGAGCTTCTTACAAGGGCAAYGTGACCCTGAGTTAGCTCAGTTGGTCAGAACATGGTAACAGWAACACCAAGGTGTTGGTTTTGATCCCCACATTGGCCATTCACCTTAGGAGTAAGACTCRATGATCCTTCCAATTCAGACTATTCTGTGATTCTGTGAATTACAGATTAATTGTTTGGCTTTTTTTTTTCTCCTAAAAGAAAGAATCAATCTTAGAGAAATCTGCTGTGGTGTCACRAAGTTCCTCATGAGCAGCAGAATGAATGAGATGCATATCCTTATCCATTCATCTGTCTCATGGAAATTTGAATACTGTAAGTTTTCTTCCATTATTTTGACACAGAGAACACAGCAGACGTAACTTCAGGCAGCAGTGAATAAGAGAAAGAAGCAGAATGTCTTTTGYGTGAACATTACAAATTTATTTTCTGACCATATTTTGTCATTGTTAAGAAGATGCAGTAGAACTTAAATACTTTGAATAACAACTGAGTAATTTCCAGGTCCCAACTTGAGGTACTTCTCATGTGCCTGGGCCCAGTTTGCTGTACTTCACCTATTCCTTCCACAAGGCTTCAACAACAGAAAGCATTCAGTGTCATAGCCCCACACACTGAGTTAGCATAATTATACTTCAAAAGTAGCAAAAAGAAGTGATAGGTTCCTAAAAGTGCATGTATCACACATGTGAATTTCATGAAAAATGTAATATGTAATTCCTAGAAAATTTTGAGGTTTTCATTGTATTTTCTTCTACTATATTTTACATTCCCGTTTTCATTTTAAATTAATTACCTATATTACCTAAAATTACTAATATTTACCCTAACAGTCACCTTTACATAATTAGTTTCATGTGTATGTGTGCACAGAAGGTGCATACAACAAACCATCCACAAAATTATTTTTCACCCTCCTTTTCCAAAGTAAATACAAAGAAATGTGCTATTTATGATGAGTCATATAAACGATTACTCTCAGTTTAAATACTCTCAGATCCCTGTAGAAATACAAATTCATCCTGGTCATGGGCYGTGTTTTCACCTAACTCTCTTGACAGCAGGTGGCATTGCCCGACTACAAATGGATAAAACCAATAAAGACAAAAGCAGTGTTTCATTACTACATTCCTTCTCACACTTCAGAAATAGAGAAAGATAATCAGTTTCCCACTAAGAACACACCACAACACAAAAGCCTTCTGTGAAAGAAAAGCTGAGGAGTAAGCTGCCAACGTAACCAAGAAGAATCTGTTAGAACAAGAGGCAGCTTAGGAAGCTGTTAATGCTTGCGAAGCACAAATATTTGCAATAGTAGGGGGWATGAAGAGGACAACAGAAAGAACAGCAGTCAGGACGTGGTCTGATGTGGTCAGATGTTGACCCCAAGAGTGCCAGGACCCTGTCTAAGTCAGGCAGAGTAGCCAGGATTCCTGTAAGACATTGTGAGCTTTCTACTCCAGCTAGTGTAGCAACAATAAAGAGTGCAAAAAGTAGCCACACMCATTTTCAGTGCATATATGTGAACTTGGGGAGTTTTTTCACTTCTGCTGCTGAGTGGACCAGTAAATTGCAGAGAGACACAAAAATTTGGAGCAACCACACCTCCCACAGATGGAATGTGGAAACAACAGAGCCCACAGTCAGAAGAGCAGATAATGCTGGATATGCACATGCAGACCTCCTGAGAGAGGGCACTGCATGCATAAGCAACAGTGTGAATGCATCCTTGTGGCAATGGGAGAGAACACAATTAGACAATTCCTTGGAATTAGATACAGAAAGCTGTTTAAATATTTGTAGGCATTTATTAACATTTTCCTGGTACCTAGTATTGTATTTGTTGCCTTGTTGCAATTAATCTTAAATACATAATTCAATTAACTGATTAAACAGTAGTTTATTATTTAGTTCTCTGTTAATTATGTCATCAATAGACCATAAATCCTTTGATCATGATTGGAACTATTTTGCACAAGTTGAGGAATTTCATCCTGCAAACTTATCTTCTATCATCAACCATGAGATGATTGTGCATAAACTACTAAGTGATGTCTGCTCAAAGAGAGAAAAATTAACCATGCCTACCTGCAGATGAGCAACCATAAACCAGGCACACACTTGCTCTCAGATGATCATGCTGCACACAGYGCTGCTCTGCTGCACGATACGCTCTTCAAACAGGATATGACACTTCCACTTATGTGAAAACTGGAATAAACAGGGGGGAGAAAAGGTAATTCTTGAACTATCAAGCTTTCTAGAGAATCCCTCAAACTTTAATAGCACTACTACACCAGCAGCCTTTAACATATTGTACTGGTAGATGCACATCAAAAAACAAGGTTTAAGCTGGAAAAAACAATTTGTGATTTGCTGGATCAAACCAGGGCATAAAATGAAACTAAAGATGAAATTCCAAATTATAGCTCATCTGATCCAATACTTGGAAAAGTCTAACAGTCCARAGATTAGCAGGGAGTCCACTAGCTCCCTAGGCAACCCACGGTAGGAGCAGACAAGCCATCCAGGAACGCCGCCGAGCCACATGTGCTGTCCCCGGAGCGCCGCAGCTGCACGGCAAGGCCGGACCGCACGTCACGGACCTGCCCTGTCAAACATGAACTGCGCGGCCACGGACCGGATTGAAAAAGCGAGAAATGTCAGCGCGCACACAGTAAATCGTGTCATCAGTAGATGGAAAAACTCCTTTGATCCTGATTCAACGTGCACACATGGAGGAGTTTCACCCTTCTRCAACTCAGCGGAACGTCTTCTTTCTGTCACCAACCAGAAGAGCTTCACTCACTCCTCTGTGGCTTTAAACCAAGTTGTGGGACCGCGCCTACAGCCATGAAGCCATTCCCAAGCCGCTTTCTCAACAGCCTTGCTCAGACCACTTTCACTCTAGGGCCAAGACAAATACAAAAGCGAAATACAAAAGCAAAATACAAACCCTCCGCCCCGTGCACCTGCTCCGCCCGGCCGCGGTGTCCCCCGGTGCGCTGGAGGACGCGGTGCACACGCACACAGGTACGAACCCCACTTCCGAAGCAAAGCGCCAGAGCCAGCCCCCACTCCGCGGCTGCCCGGGATGGGCCGGGCCGGATGCAGCAGCAGCAGCAGCAGCAGCGGCGGGGAGGAGGCAGGGCCGGTCCGGGGCGGAGCGGGAGAGGCGAGGCGGGCGGGCTGAGCGGAGGCGCCGGCAGAGCGCCGGAAGATCCCGGCAGGCGCCGCGCCGCCCGTCGTGGCTGCCGCCGTCAGGCTGAGGCGGCCGCCCCGGCACCTYCGGGTGCCCCCCGGCGCGGAGCAGCGCGGCCACGGCCCGCGGCAGCGGCGGTAGCAGCAGGTGGGGCGGAGCGGGGTGGAGGGCAAAGCGCCGCACCGCAGCTCCTGCCCGGGGAAAGGTCCCCTGCTCATCTGCCTAAGTGTCCTTGTGCGGGAACACGGGGCACAGGCAGCCTGTCAGACACGGCTCGCCGCTCCCGGCAGCTTCTGCTCTTTGCATCGCCTTGTGCTGGTGCTCGGGAGAGGGATCGGTTGGGGTTTTTTCCTGCATTTTCGTGACTCTAGTGCTGTTTTCCAGACTGTATTTTAATATCTATTTTTCTTTCCCCAGGTATCATTTCAGAGCTCACTTGATTTAATATGGCTTTGATTAGCCGAAAAAGTTTCCAGATCTATTCATCCACCACGCCAGCAAGCAGGTCTGCTTTGCTGACCCTAAGCAAAAGATTGAACTTCACCAGGGGGCAGCAAAAACCGCAAAACTATAGCTCCGTGGCCATGAGGATCCTGTGTGTCAAAGATAAACCTCAGTATATGTTTTGCAGGAAAAAACATGCACAGCTGCAGATGCAGCCACTTTCAGTCAATGAAACTGTGCATCTTTGTGGAGATATTGAGAACAGTACTAAATCAAAGAATGTGTGGATGGATGAACAATTATTTTTCAAGAAGTTGAACGACCTTTGTACATCAAAAGAGATTTTTTACTTTCTTAGCTCTCTAGAGGTCATGTCTGATACTATGGCCTCAGGCGCCCTGCAGAGGATTTCGGAAATTGAGGTGGGTGACAATGGTCTTAAAAACCCTGGACTGTTAGAGAATGAAGTTTTCAGGGCATTGTGCTTCCAGTTTGAATTTGAGTCCTCAAAACTGTCAAACACTGGGCTGCTGAATGCATTGCAAGCTTTGATAAAGCTCCGTATAGATCCTCAGAGCACGCTGATGGCAAGCTTGCTTTCAGAGAGCGAGGAGCGGCTTGGAAAGGGACAGCTGACTGCTGGAAATCTGTGTGCTCTTGGAGAGAGTTTACTTGAGTTGGAAGGCCCAAGTTGTGCGACGCTGGAACAAATTGTGAACCGCATGCAAGAAAAAGACATTGAGAGGTGGAGTCCCCAGGAAATAGTGATGGTTTATAAGATACTGCAGGTGACTGTCAGGGAAGGGAAAAAGTGCCAAAAGTTGCTAAACAGACTGAACAGTGTTACTTTACACACAGTTTCCCAGTTAAGCCCAAACTTTACAAGTGTAATACTGAATTCACTGGTGGTTCTTCGTCAGACTGGGGCAGTTCCCTTAGTCACTGCACTATGTAACCATTCAGTGAAGCATGTTCCCTATTTCACAGATCATGAACTGGTAAATGTACTGGAAGCCTTCCTATACTTTGGGCAAAAAGTACAAATTTTTACCCAGGCACTGGAAGCACATGTCCCCAAGTCCATCCTCACTATGCATCCTCAAACAATCAGCAAGGTCATGGAATATTGCTGCAAAAAGATGATCCTTTCAAAGCCCATCTTTGATGCAGTGGCAGAAGGTTTCATTTCCAATGCTGACAGACTTAGCACTGACCAGGTTGCTGCATATATCATACCCTTTGGGACTCTTAACTATCTGCCTCCAAGTGCTTCCTCCTTGTTTAGGAAGCTGGAAAYGGTGCTGCATACCCGCTTGAGGGACTTTAAGCCTCACACCCTGCTGAACCTGCTACACTCCTGTGTCCTTATTCAACGTTACCCAATAAATTTTCTGCCAAAAATATTTAGTCCATATTTTCTGCAAAAGCTTCAAGGTAAGAAGCGGAGTTTCTCCTGGGATGTTCCACATTTCTTTCTATTATGTGGTTTGTCTCTTGTCAAGCACCAATTTTTTATCATTTTCCTCTGTCAAATCAATGGTGATCCGATCTAAGTGACTGGAGAAGATTGATCAAGAGGCCAAAGGCTGTTGCTTCCTTTTCACAGTTTGCATTGTCTTTCATGTTATGTCATTTAGACAAGTTTGAAAATTGCACTGTAAAATCTTAAAACAGACTTGAATTCCCTTTAAATTTTTTTTTTCAGTTAATCCTGCTGGTTTTCTAAGAAATAGTGACCTGATGTTCCCCTTGTTCATTCTTTATCTCATACAGAATGAGAGAACATCTCTCATGTGATATCTGTTCTTGGCTCTAATTACTGCATATTCCAATGCTTTTGGACACAAACCTATTATGAGTGCTTAAAGTAATTCTCTCTTAGATAGTAAGCATTTTTAGGGTTATTATGGAGAGTTGTAAGCTATGCCAGAAAGATGACTGACTTCTTAAAATCTCAGCTAAGATTGCTCTACCAATAAAACTAAGGTAAAGTTTTCAAAGTGATCAGAAATTTTGGTCACTTAGTTTTTCAACATGAAATACCTTAATGGGTTGATTTTTATGAAGCTGACAAATATCCGGAAATTACTTGGTATTATCCACTACTTGCAGATTAAAAAAAAATCAAAAAGTGAAGCAATGAGATCCTTGGGGAACTTGGGGAAAAGGGATTATAAGAAGGACATAKTTATCTAAGACCTCAACTCAAATTTATTCTCTGTAGAATGTCCTGCATCTTTTGGCTCATTTTTTTAGTGAAAGAATATGACAGTTTTAACTAAGATCTTGCTAGTTGTATATTTTAATGTTGATATTTCTGTAAATAATGTTCTCATTTTCCTAACTGTGTCATTTTACACCAATCTTTCTGTTCGTTCAAACAATTACTGAGAATTTTAATGATGAAGTAGCTTCTCTACACATTATACTGAATAGCTTCTCCTAACTTCTGCATACGGTTTGTGTAAAGATACTTTATTGAAGGTACACCTGAAAGCTTGAATGTTGTTGTTTCAGCTCAGCCACCTGGTTTGAACAGAGTTGTTATGTCCCAGCTAACCCAGCTTTTTCTGACTGTCACCCTGGAGTGCCCATTTTATGAGGTACAGTACATGTGAAACCAGAAATTATGCTAACAAGATGTGATAATGTCATTGGGGCCCTGCTTATACTTAGTTGAGGAGCATCTTTCCCATAAAAACATTGGAATCGAACAAAACAGCTTTCCTTGATAAATATATGGAGCATTTCTACCTGATTGATTGACTTGATATATTTGTATGAATGGAAACAGCTGTGCATCTCTCATGAACATGATAGCATGGAAGCTTCCTGAGGATGTTCTGGTGGTTGTTTGGGTGATTTTAAGTTTCCAGCAGATCATACCTCAGACTRTAGGCCTCTCAATAGATTTGGCTTTGAAATCCCCAAATATATTTTGCTGTGTTAATATAATGTATTTACAAAAATGTTATCTCCCTTTTGCTTCTGTTTGATTTGGTTTTCTGTCATTATGTAGGGTCCAAAACTCCTTTCAAAGTATCAAGTAAAGGCCTTTCCCACGCCTCACAGTTCTCCTGATGTTTACCTCTTTAAAAGGGTGAAGACAGGACTGCTTTATTTACTGAAAAAAAGAATATATTTTGCATCAGAAGTATCAACACCATATTTCTATGTAATTGGTAAGTATTTCTTCAGTAATTGAATGTGTTTGTATGGTACCAAAGCTTTCATTCCCTATGTGGGYTTTCTTAATTCTGCAAATACATTAAAAGTAAACTGGGATACAAAATTCTGTAAAAGATCTGAAATATGGAAACTTTAAGTAAAAATTTTTGGAGTCAGAGAATATGGAGAGAAAAGCACTGCAGCATTACTTGGTCTTTACACAGTCAGTCTGCACTGAAAACAGCTCCTAACACTTGAATTCTGTGTTTGTAATATCAGCTCCTTATCCTTTAAACAATTTGTATAATGTAAAGCCAAATGAGGCAATGCCACTTGCCTGATGTCCCTGCTTTAGTGCTGAGTAGAGAAAGGGAGGACTGGAAGGTGGTCAGCCCTGTGCCCTGCTTGGCTGGGCTCCTGTCCCCTCAGCGAGAGCTACTGACTACACAGTYCATGGGGGTTTGTGGGGTGTAGGGCAGGAGTGAGCAAAACAGTGTTGTGTGCAGCAGGAAGGGAAACACAGAAGGCAGCAATGAGGAATGGTGTGTGCCAGGAGGGGTGGATGATAATAAGATGTTGAGAGAAAGGCATCTTGGATGCCATGGATGTCAGAGGCATTTAAAAAAATAAAAAAGAGGCATGATTCCAGAGTTATCCTGCATGTCAGCTTTCGTGAGGATGTTGAAGTTAGCAAAGAGGGAGAGAGTGTGTCTCTCCCCAAAGCCCTCAAAATTCCACAGACCCTAGCCAGCCCAGCAAAGTGCCATTTAAGTACGTTACGGTTTCTAGTGGACTGGGAATACWGCTTTGCTTGTAGCATTATGAAAGGATGAACTGTTACTAATTGTCAGTCATTTGTGTTAAGTCTATACAACTTTTGCCAGCTTCTGTGATTCCAGAAAAAAAAATTCTGACAATATTATAGTTATTTAATAAAATAATGAACTGTGAGAGGAAAAGAATTACAGGAGAAAGTTTCTTACAGGAAATGATTTTTAMTGTCACTTCTTTTTTCATCGACACRAGATATTGAGATTAAGTTGGATGAAGAAGGTTTTATATTGCCTGCAGACCAACTTGAAGAGRTACACAGACGGTAAGAGAATACAAGAAATCACTGGTAAAATGTTGATATACACCTAGAAAGAGCATCCAGGGTGAAAACCTGGCAAAATGTAAGCTRTTTGCAGTTTTGCCATTGACTTCAACAAAGTTCAGGTCTCTGAAACCACTTACACTGAAACTACTAGCAAAGATTAACAATCTGCTTTTTGCTCTTTGTTTTGCCACCTGACTATTCAGTGTCAGACAATTTGTCTCTTTACTGTGACTGTCAGAATCAAGTGATCCTTATTTGGAGTATAGTGATGTATTTTGATACTCTGTGATTCATTTTTAAATTAAAACTAAATTCTAACTGAATGYATTTGTACTGATTTAACAGAGTTTAAGCCAGTTTGAGTTCACAAAATTACTTCTGCAAGGAATCCTTCATAATAAGGATATTTGCTACAGATGCTATTTTTTTCATTTGGGACATGAGTAGGTTTTTAAAAGTGTGTTAAACAAGGGTTACCTTTAGAAGCCTTGGATACAAAGTTAAGCAAGCTGCCTGTGTGGTATCTCCAGCTGCACTTCTGTGAATAAAGCAAAAGTCTTTGAAGAGGTTAGGCTTTCTCCAGCTTAACCTTCTGTTGTGGTTTAGGTTGAACACCTTCACAAGACTCAGAGACTAGTACAGGTTCATTCCAAGAGCCCATGCTTAAATTCTTAAGAATGAGCTTTAATGAGTTTTTTTTTAAGTAATAGCTTTCATAAATATAAAGTGAGTAAAGTCACAATATACTTATACTGAAAATTTAAGCAGCTTTTTAACGGTAGATATACAAACCTTGGTTTAMGTTGATGGGATTTTCATCACCAAAAACAAAAAATAGTTATAATCCATGATGCTGCCAATCATATGTACAGGTTTAACTTAAACAGACATAGCTTAAACTTAACTTGAGCTCTTAACAGGTAAATTAGTAAGTTAAATAAATTTACCTGCTGAAATATTTTCTAGCTGAGGCAAGGCTTTTTTTTTACATTTTTTCTTCTAAAAGAATTCAAAACAGTTTACTAATCATAGCATTAGAAATATCAAATTCTCATTAACTTGCATGGTAATTTTTATTCAGAGCAAATAAAAAAGCTTTTCAGATCAGTTTTACTATGGTTCAGGGTTTCACCTCCCACCCTTAAATTGAGTGATCTAAATTATCCTGAACTTGGTAACTCCCATCCTGTATCGCATTCTATGAGGTGTAAGAGGGAGGTGCAGTCTCATACTTCTTAGGAACTGCAGTTGTTGTGGTGATAAAATAACTGATTTTTGTGGTTTTGTTGGTTTTTTTTTTAATTTTTTTTTTTATTCTACACTTATGCTTGATTTTAGAATTGCCCTGTGTGTTGATGGTCAGAACAGATTTTGTGCTAATAGCCACAATCTGTTGGGAGAAGAAGTGATTAAACAGAGACATCTTCAGTTACTTGGTTATGAAGTTGTGCAGGTAAAGTCCAAAGACATGATTTACTTTTGCTCTAACAAAAGAAGTAAAAATTATTTTGCAATACTTAAAAACTGTAGTTTGAATTAATTCCTAAAGCAGATGACGTCTGTCCTTTCTGTATTATGTCCTCTCTGCCTAGTTTTTSCCTTTTTGAAGGTGTACAGAAATTACTTTTTCTTCCTTGGATCAATTAGTGTATTCTGCCTGTGTTTTTTGCCACATAATGGCTGCTTGGAAGTGTACTTCTCTRCAGTGATTAAGATTCAAATCTCGACTTAATGGAAAATGTTGAGGAAGAGTTCATTAGAATAGGAGTTTTCAATTAAATGCTTTTAAAAAAGGTTTGGAGTTTAAAAAGAGGAGTTTAAAAAAAAGAAGCTGCTTTGTATTGTAAAGAATATTTTGACAGCAGAGTATAACCTTTATTTGGCCTGTTGAATTAATAGTTATTTATTTTTTAAAATGTACTTTGAACTAAAAACTGTTACTTTTAGTTTTTTGAGATTTTATTTTCCTCTTTTATCACTTACCACATAAGCCTAACTCCATAATATTTAACTTAGTTTAAACTATAATAGATGTCACTCATTGTTTTACAGTAATTGCTATTCAGGTCATTTACAGATCAATAATGCATTTAGGATTAAGTCTATAATTTTAAAACAAATAAAAAACAACYGTGTAATTTTGCATCTGCTTGATGAACATCAGTCTTATCCATTTGTTTATTAAAAGGTATTTCCAGCAACCATTTTTGTTTTGTTTCCAGATTCCATTTTTTGAGATAGAAAATCTACAAAATACCAGAAAAATGGCAGAATATCTACACAAAAAAATCTTCCCTTGTACATATGGACTCAGCAACTGACACTGGAGAATACCACTGGATCACAGGCTGATTTTTTATACTACAAAGTGTAAATTCTGTGCGTGGAAGAAAAATTCTCTTTGCTAAATAACTTCTCAGAAAATCTGAGCTTCTGAATGTGAAAGCTTCCAATATTTGGAACAATTGACATGTAAAGAGTAATAAAAAGCACCATATTTTCTTAAGTTTTGTGTCAATATTTATTACCAGTTTACAGATGAAAGTGCCAGACAGTCAGTGCTGCTTTTCCCTTGTATTTTAACTGGTTCCAGTTCACAAAGCTGCAAAAGGCCACATGTGACTATGCAAGGATACTGGCCAGTCTGAATGTACAGAATATGCCTAYAGAATACCTACTAATCAAGGCTTTTCTTGACAGTATAAGAAGAAATTRTGCAATTTACTTACAGCTGCTCATGTAATTTCCCAAGTGTTTCATAAAACTAAAATTTGAAGTAGTTGCAGAAGCAGTATTGGCTTATTGGTTTTACTTAAGAGATGAAGAGTGCTGTTCAATAAATAACAATGCCTTACAGAAAATGAGAGAGTTTTTAATAAAAAGGTTTCCTTTCTTTGAAAGTAACAGCCACAGGATAATAGAYTTGTACAACTGTCTCTGTGGGGCCACCCACAGAGAGTGTTTCAGATATATTCCATTTTCAGTTTTGCCTTTGGTGGCAGTTTTAGCTAAACTAACTGAATGGGGTCATGTATACACTCCAAGAGTTCCTCCAGGTAACAGAAACTCTGTGCTCTGAAGCTCAGAAGAGCTATGTCCCGTTTTTTATGTATGAACAGAAAATCTGGAACTGAGAACCAGACCCAGTATGCACTCCAGCCAGAACCYGTGTGCCCTAACTTGGGTGAGTTTGCAGATGGATGAAGGGAAAACAACAGAGCTTTAGTTYTGATCACATTATGTATACTTGATGAACTGCCATGTAAAACCCATTTTCTGGTTACTTGTGCTTCCTCCCTTTGTGGAATTACTATTTATGAATAACAAAGCAGAAGTCCCAGCATCATCACATAGTTTGATTTTCAACTATCAAACTTTTCAGTTTGATTTTTGTTATTTTGATACAAAAAGGTGAAACTTTTACATCATTGACATTCTGTATATTCCACCAGTAGATAYAGAATGTGGCCATTTTTTCCTTCCAAGGCTGCTGTTAAAAATTTGAAAGCTGCAGGAGTCTGTCAATTGCCCCAGCAATCCCTGGATGCAAAATCCAGATCCAGAATATGATTTACATTGTGTCATGSTGTCCATTCTGTTCATGTTAATTTGTTGCATGTAAAACCCTTCCTCACGGTAGTATGTCAACACTGACAGGTAAGGGAGCACCAAAAGGCAATTAAATGCTTTCCAACACAGTTCAATAGAAAGCTCAGAACATCCATAATCTCAGAATTTGTCATTCTAGCCAAAGAAAAATTGAAGGAGAGCCACTGCAATGGCTCTGCAAACATTTATAAGGAATTTATGCCTAATATAGAAGAAATTGTCAGGGTGTTCTTTTCACACTGAGCACTGGACACCATTCAGAACTGAATGAAAAACAAGTAGTGGGAGGAATAACCTATGAAAGACGTTCAGAAGTGAGTAAGGATGAGAAGGGTGTGACATAAACAAAGAAATGAGATAGGAACATTGAAACTGGTGTTTTGATGTGCTACTTAATCTGTGGAGGAAGTGAACTGGTGATGCCTGTTTCTTACACAGGCCAGAAGGTGGTGGTATTCTCAAACAAATTTGATTTCTAATAGTTTTTTTTCAAACACAAATGATTTGCAAATATAGGAAGGCTACTTAAAAGAAGCAATTTGTACTGACTGTCCCAAAATAAAAATAACCATAAGAATACGGCTATATTCCATCTAATTCTTTACTGGTAAACTTTAATACTGATTCTTGAAAAAGCATTGTGGTATTAGAAAAAATTTTCTCCCTTTGTTCCTACTGTGATCCTTTCATTTAATGCTGCTGAATTTGTTTAATGAAATGCTTATTTTTGAAAAGGAATGGAGCAGTTAATGTCCTCCTGTCCATAGCCCACTGAGTGTAGAACTGCAGGTCATGAATAATGAAAGTAACAAACACCCCTCAGAATGAGCTGCTCTCCGTGCTCTGCTTCTCAGATCATGCCAAACCATTGCTATTGATTGTCTAATTTACTACCTTTTCAGGTCCCAGAAGACGTTAAGAAGTTTTTTGTTTCTGCTATTTTTTCTCCAGGAGTCTCGCTGTATTTAACAAATGACATAGACTTCCTATGTCTAAATACTTGACAGAACCAGTGTCAGTCACAGTTGTGGACTTCAAGTCCTTGTTCTAGTACAATCACTCTGGGGGTTCCTTTCTCAACAATACTGCCTCAGCTTTAAACAACAGGATCAATGGCTCTTGAGAGTCAAACTGATGCATATCCTACAGGAGAAACTCCTGAAATTACCTTAAAATTTTAGAACTGGATTCCATGAAAGTACAAGGCAYTAAATGTTTCATCAGATTTAGACATTTGTACTAAACATGCTTCTTAAATGACTACTGCTCAAATCCTTGTGTTTTTTTCCATCCTCTCTACCAAATTATTTAGTGCTTGTTCTGCTAGTATTACTTTTTCTTCTTTCCCCTTTTTTCAGATTGGATATAGACCCAATGATTTTTCTTTTAAATCAGTCAGACACAATTCCTATAGTGGAAGTCAGTGAAGTGAATGTCTGAARTCAGCTAAACCCAGATTTTGTCTCTTTAAATGCCAAGTGCTCAGAAGTTAATTTTAACTTGCTCAGAAGTTCATTTTAACTCAAGTTCCACTTGAAATCTACTGAAACTGCTTAGCACTTCTGGAGGTCAGATAATTTCTTTATTTGCCCATTAATGAGTAAGCCCATCCATTTTAGAAAATTCTGAGCAGAATCTCTWTTTCAGCTATTGTGCACATAAAACAATGCCTCACAATTCTCTAGCAGCTCTGTAAGGATTAAAAAACCTGTGACCACTGATAGCTTGACGAGTAATCTTTCTTAAATGTTAGGTATGTGAATGGTTGTGTAGAAGCAGTTGCTGAGAGAGCTTTTGACCCAATAGGTCTCATTCCCAGTGTTGCTGCATAAAGTGTTCAGCTCTTGTTGGTGCTGCTCTTCATGAGATTTTTATGAGAATGAAAGAAGATATGCATTTTAATTAGCATGAGAAAAAGTGCAGCTGCTATTTCACCCTATTTATAATCCAGATCATTCTCATTAACTAAAATGTAGAGAAAAAGGCAAAAGCACCATATTGCTTTTCAATGCATTTTTTTCCACATAAATGTTGCTGCTSATGACAGATACAAGACATTTAACATGGATCCAGGCCTGGAGAAGGTTTTTTCAATGATCAGTGCAGCTATTTTCCCCATAGATTGCTTTCTGCACGTTATAAACCCTTACATGCTCTTTGGTTGCTGGGTCTAAGGAGTTATTTACGTATTTCCCATACTGCGAAGATGTCTTCAGAGGAACAATTCTTGCCCTTTCCTGTAAAAACATAAAAGTCACCTCAGAAGAAAATCACAGAGTGAATAGACAACTTGACAGCCCTCTATTGCTCAATGTGCTGTGGCCAAGGGTAAAATAACTGACAGAACTGTACAGCATCTGCTATATGGATGTATATTTGTTTAGCACCCTTAGTGTTCTATCCCTGCCCTAGTTTTTTATATACCTTAATAAACCATGAATGTGTCACTGGATGACAAGATGATAAGATACAAAGCTGCAGACTGATAATTTTTTACACAAATACATACACACATATGTGATTACCATGTGACCACTGGCAAACTAAATGCTGGAAAAGCACCAATTTTATTTTTATTTTTCTTGTGCACTGAGTTGCATGATTCATTTGAAAAACAGGAGAGATTTGTGTCCCCTGTTACAGGAACACCAACACTGCTTGCACAATTCAGTGAATGTACAGCATGAAAAAAATCAAAGCCTAAAGAAAAACCCTGAGCTACCACTAGTCCATGCAAGCTTTCYCTGAAGGAAATAAAGCATATACTACTTTATTTCTCCACAATGAAAGGTTGTACTAAAAATGCTTTTTAGCTGTAAGATTACAGAAAATAACTGCTTTGCAATGATGGGAAGTGAACTTCTGAAAAATAACCTGGCCAAGAAAAGATTATTTTAAGCTTGTACTTRGTAAGCTGCACTTTAAGTGACTGTGCAATCACTATCTGCAATCTGCAGTTCCTTCCTGTGCTACCGCAACAGGGAGCCACRGAGTCAGAAGGGAAAGAAAGGATTTGTTTGTTTTTCTGTCCCTAGCCAAAGGTCTCAGATTTTTCAGGCTGCTTGTATGTTTGCACACAGACTAACACAGCAAGCCTTGGTCTGCAAAGTGTTTATCTAATCTTATAATACAAATAGTATCTAAAAGGAGAATCAAAATTCAGATGCCACACCATAGTTCAAATGCAAGCAAATTACTTCTTTGCTACAAGAGACACAAGTCTGAGCAAATAAACACTTACGTCCTGCAATTCAGGTGAGAGCACAGACTGGAGTGATTTCATAGCAGGGCAGTCAGCTAAGAGACATTTCCAGCCTCATGGAGAGAACCTGAGGTTCTTGGAAAGATGCTCTAAACCCTTTTTAAAAAACTAACTAACTAACTAACTAACTAACTAACTAACTAACTAACTAACTAACTAACTAACTAACTAACTAACTAACTAACTAACTAACTAACCCACTCAACAGAAAACCCATTTCAACAAAGCAACAATTTATCCCCTGGTTCTCCTGCCTTACCTTAATCCACCCTATTAAAAGCTACTCAGTACATCAACTTTAAACCCCAGCAGACTGGCAGGCAAAATTAAGACCATTTCCTCCCCTGCCCTAGTTGTAGACAAGTGTTGAAAAATAAGAAACTAAAACATCTTTGTACCATCAAGAAAGACTTTGCAAGCAATAATACATGGTTTACAGTGCTAATGACAGGCAGCAGTATGTAATTCCAATAGTTTGTGTTCTTTTTAAATAAATGAGATTCAGTTTTCAGCATCCTTGGTAGCACAGTGCTGACTGTGCACACTGGCATTTCATCTTTGTGGGTTTGGCATTCAGCAGGTTTTAGATTTTCCAACAGTTGGCTGGGAAGCGTCCTGCTACCCGCCTTCGCAGCGTGTAATTCTAGCACTGTTAGCACTTGGAATCAGCAATGGCAGCCCTGTGCACACGCTTCACTGCAGTTACTCAGCTGCATGTAGCTAAACTGAGTGTCACTGTACTCTTGAATTCCTTGACTGCACCCAGGCTATCTGCAGGAAATGAGGGACTTCCTTGCAGTGCTTTGCTTTTTTCCACTTCAAGTAAAGCAGTAAACTGTGGTGGGTTCATCCTGTCTGCTTTCAGTGTTGTACTACAATGATGTCACTTGTGATATTTTTATTTCTTATATTTTATAATTTAGTTATTATTATATCAAGTCTGAGAGGGCTACTGTGATTATTAAAGAGGAATTGAATATGTGACCTGCCCTTAATTATGGTTACATCCAGTGTTGGCTGTCATGACATGCAGGAAGATCATGTTGTAGCATTGAACAGCTGTGGGTTTGATGTGTYTCCATGCTAATTAAAGGGCTGGATTAAGGACACCTGTTTGGACAGTCCCTTGTGTGCACTGCCCAGCAGAGCTGGTTTGAATTCTGGCCCATACAAGCTGGCTCTAGCAAGAAAACTGAGAGGAAAGTGAGTTTTGTTGATACATGAGCTCAGTAAAAAGCAGTAGCTTTATATTGATGAACTTTCTACACAAATTTCTCACTTGGAGGTTGGCCGTGGTAGTAGGGGAGGGAGGTTGTCTTTGTTTCATTTAAATGAAAAGTTTAATTTCTAATTAGTTATTTACATACCTTTTGCAGTTGAGTTACTAGCTACGAGCAGGTGATCTTAATGGGCACTCCTTGGATTCCTTTGGGAGMATCTAATACTTCCTGCACTGTCTGATAGAGTTTAAGGACATTATGGCTACGCACTGGCACTGAAATATCTGGGGTATGTAACTGCTAGTGAGACAAATCACAAGCAGTGGGCTCGTCAGAAAAAAACAATTTTATTTTACAGAAATTAGAGTAATTTGAAATCTTGTCCCTCTTCCTTCTTCCTTCTYTATCACATATAACCATCAATGCAGGCAGCCATCCTTAACCTCCCATCACTTCACATGCTATGAACCCATTGGGATTTTGAGGTCATTAGTACACAAGGTTACACATCATTTGGTTTTTGACAGCCTCTGCCTCTGTGTGTAGATTTGTGTATGTATAAATATAATTATATATACAGACACCTGTATATGTAAGTGTGTTCAGATGCTGCATGCAAAAATACRTACAAATACATTTATGCTTATATATTATTTCTGTTTTCAAGGGAGCTGTTTAAAAACCACRGCTGTATTTATCTATTGGGCTGCASATAAAACCGAGACTCTGCTGGCCTCAAATACTTTGCCCATCCTTTTCCAGGAATGTCCATGGTGTTCTGATTTACCACACCTTTGCACTATTTTCCTATGAATTTCCTTCCTGCAGGGCAATCTGGTGTCAGTTTTCTTAACAAACTCACCAGCTTCAGAGACTTAGGCTTTCACAGCAAATGCTGGTGTAGGGGGGATGGGTGTCAGAGGGTCATGGCCTCTGACTTTAGTCCTTTCAGGGAGAAGAGTTTTCAAGTGTCACAGAAATAACTGCAGAACCACCTGAACTACAACTCTTGAGGGGCACAGATGGTTCAGAGTACATCCTGAACTATGCAAGAGAGGATTTGCCTCTTCCCCCTTACTTTGACTTGCATATGTCTTGTCACCTGGAAATCTTCAGGATATGAAAGAGCAAGAGCTAATCTGGGTGTCTTCAAGAGCTAATGCTTTCTCCTAAACCTACATGCTGAGCACAGTAATGTCTTCCTTCCAATACCTTTCCTACCATATAGACTGCACTGTAAAGGGTAAAACAGTGCCTATAGCCTCCAGTCATGTAAAAAAGTACAAAATACCTTTAAGAAAGATAATTATGAATTTATCAAAGGGTTACCTCCTCATAAATTTTAAGGCCACGACCCTTTGCATGTCTTCTGTCACAGCGTGGAAGATACTGGTCATAATCTTCTGGTATTCTGAAAACAGCGTCATAGGTGAACATATCTCCTGTCTTGAGAAAAGGGGAAAAATGGCTAATTCACAGAACTGCTTAACTTTACAGATTACAGAGCATGTGTAGTCAAATCAAACCGCACATACATTGCATTAGATGATGACAACTGTAATACTACTGACTTTATTAGGAAGTTTAGGCCACTCCTTTGGAGTAGTTTTCAAAATTACCTGATGACACTGGTATCTTTTATTAAGTTTATTTAGCAGTGAAATTTCACTTCTGGCAATTTATTTCATTCCGCCCCCCCAGGAAACTGTTGTAACTTTTGGAAATTAAACTGATTTTCTCTTAATTTTCTGCACTTAATATTCTCCTTCTTAAATTCATGTAATTGTCAAATGATCTGGCACAATTATGTAAAAGCAAAACAGGCACTTTCAAAAAGACATAGGTATTCTACACTGCAAACAACATTTAATTTCTGATTGGAGCAGAATTGAGAAATGTGCCACAGTGGCAATCCTGTGATCCAGTAGTATGTGTGACACACATATGTCAGGCATGAAAATAAAGCACACTCCAACTCAGAATGTGATTGTATAACTGTTGACATAGTTGCATCCAAGCAAGCAACATAAAAGATCTGCTCTGCTAACAAAGGTGTTTGTGAAATCCAGTCAAAAAGTTCTCACAAGTGAAATTAAAGCAATTTCAAACCAAAATGTTTTCAAAGAAAGAAAAGCAAAATCCTCTATTGAAATATGCTGCCAGTTGTTTATGACCTTCATTCATTAAAAGGTTCATATTCTGTTAAACATGTCAATCCATCATTGACTTTGTGCACAGCCATCTAAAAAAATGGTGCATTTTGTTGGGCTTTTTTTCTYCTCTACTTTTACAGTGTGTCCAATTTAACCTTTGAAACACTCATGTATTTTGAGTCTTTCAAATTATAATGATATTCTCCAAACATAGTCAAGTCATGGSAGGTCAAGAAGGCTATAATGGTTCMATTGAAAGGAAACAATAGTTAAGAGCACTAGTGAGACACTGCTGTAGTTTCGGGCTTTATTTGTCAAGTAACTATTTGTAAATTCAGGCTTTATTTGTAAATTTATTTGTAAATTTTGTAAAAAAACATTACTTGGTTCTGCCAAGAGAAGCGATTATTTGGCATTGAACCTATTTATCCCTTCACTTCCCAGAAACCATCAAGCTTCAGAGGATTGCAGGCATGTTCAAGAGCACCTTGCACATGATTTGTCATCTCCATGTTTATTTCTGTGCTTTCCACAACTAATTAAACAATAATGATATTCAAGAGTCAAATGTTTCATCTCACTTCCAGGATCTCTTCTTTKGCTATATGGACTTTGTTTCATAAGACCGTTTATATGAATAACTGCTTATAATTGCACTTTTGATTAGAGTCATAGACAGCATCATTCAGCATGAACAACACTCCAAAAATGTTTCAGTGCTCAGAAACCCTGGAAAAGAAGAGCCCAATGCCTAGAACTATTGTTTCAGTAAAGTGAGGCCATTGATGTCAGTGAAGCCAGATGAATCCAAAAGAGTATTTCTTTTCCTGCAGAAGAAATTGGTGAGATCTGATGGCACAAAATTTAGGTGAGAGTTAAGTACTTTTCTCCCCATGGTAACAGTTTCATTCATTKGCCATTTAATGTGTACTCACCACCAGAAATGTTATTTGCCCYTTGCTGTTATTCATGTGGCATTGTTACTTGTGTCAGAGCAGATAATTCATTGTTTCTGCAACTTGCAGATGGCCGGGCAGCCTGTTATGCCAAAAACTAGCTCTGTCCCAGATGATCAATTTAAGATTTTGTGCCAGATGTCTAAAGACAACACTTTTTTGCTCAAAGTTTATACTTTACACTGGTAACTTTCTACTGCTGTTTCTCTTTGCTGTAAATGACAACTTGGTTGGCCTGGGTGGTGGTGGTGGTGGTGGTGGTGGTGGTGGTGGTGGTGGTGGTGGTGAGCTGTTTCTAAACCTGTCAGAACAAGTGAGTCACCCAGAGCTGATGATACATGTGCACTCAGGGGAGGCATCCTCTGTACTGCTGCTAAAGCTAAGTGCTTTGTAAGCACTCATTAGTATTCTGGACACACATAAAACAGGTAATAGCTTTCTCCACATCKCAGAAGAGGAAACACCAGGCACAGGGGCTACAGTAACTTATGGAAAGCAATCCAGGGAGCAACTGTCAGCCAAGGGATTAACAGGCAGGACTATCTGGCTTCTGGCCATGCAATGAGTCCATCTTTTCCTGTTTCTCTGTGCTTCAGTCTCTGATATATGGTTGGTTTTAGGTATTTAAGCTGCAAAAAGGAATGAGATTCCTTTTGATGTATAAATAAAAATAYTCAAATGTTCTAATTCCTAAATTGAGCAGAAGAATGCGTCAAATCTGCTTCCTCCCCTGTGGCCAAGGCCTGGTCTGTGAAGAAACCCATTAAACAGCTATCACCACTTTTTGTTTCCATGCCACTGGAGCAGCATTTTTCACAAACCAGGCTGTTGTGAGTGTGAAAGTAGACTATATTGTAAGGAAAAGTTCTACCATATGGCTGCTGATTCTGTGCAGACTGGATAGACTGGAGCTCCACCACCACCACCAAGAGCACCACACCAGCCCTCTGACCTGCCCCCACTTTACTCTTTTTGAGGTCTCCCTACTCTTTTGAGAAGCATGRCATCAATTGTGCCCACTCACATTTGGGTCAGATCACCTTCCTAAGCTAATGCTGGAATCAACACAAAAGAGTCTGACATTAGAAATCTACTTGTCTTTAGCAGGGTCACCAGGTCAGTGCATGAAATTTGCTGTTCCTTTAATGCCCAGCACAGTGCTGTGGTCTGTACCCTGCCCACATCCCAGGGACACAGGATCTGCAAGCTCTCCCAAACCACCAGTCAGCACCGCCCGGTGCTTGGTGCATTCAGCAGCCTGTCACTTGGGTGAGGAGGGGATTCATGGTTTATTGTTACAAATTGCCAAAGCATTGCTATATTCCATGGACATTTCAGAACTTTTTTATGCTAATATTTTTTGAGAAAAAAATCTTGTTAAGTTCAATGTCTCATATGGCACTTCATAGAAAGGTTTGCCACCCAAGAAGTGTAGCTCAGTGAGGCTGTAGGTGTAAGAWTGTTTTCATTTCTGATTTTAAATATAAGAACAGAGAGAATGAAGAACAAAGGMGATATAATGCAGCAGACTGAGGAGTGAGGCTCCCTGCCAGTGTACTTGAGTTACTGCACATTAAATGGCAGTGTACTACCTTTAGAAGCATTCAGTTACAGAGGCATATATTGATGTTATTGTTTGGAGTAGCTCTATTGATTTTATTAAAGCTGAGCATGCAGAAAATGTATGCAATGAACATTAAACATCTTTTGCCTCAAATGAAAATGGCAAAGTTTCTTATTAAGTTCCCAGAAGTGTGTGTTACGAGAACATCTACTGGTGCTKCATCAAACCCTAGTGACAGATGACGCTTTTCCTAGTGTTCCCTAAGGATGCTTCACATTTCATTGACACCAAGTGGCCTGTCCATCCTSAATCCCTGGCAAACCATGTCTCTGCCTTCACTGGTTATCCAGTGACATTACCCTCATGTGTCATCCACAAGTAGCAAACACACTTTGCAAAGGCCTCTGAAGGTGAAACCTGTTTCACCTAACTTTGGCATTAGATTGGCACAACGATTAATGTGTTAATCAGAAAAAAATTCTTCACTGTGAAGGTGGTAAGGCACTGGAATGGGTTGCCCCATCTCTGAAGATGTTCAAGGCCAGGCTGGATACGACTTTGAYCAACGTGGTCTAATGGAAGATGTCAGTGCCCATGGCAGGAGGTTGGAACTGTATGACCTTTAAGGTCGCTTCCATCCCAAACCGTTCTATGATGCTATGACGATTTCAAACACCTGTCTGACCAGGTCCCTCATGATSAGGGCTGAGCGCTTGCAGCGGGGCCGAGCGGAGTGTCTTTACAATGTGCAGAGACCCAGGAGGAAAACCTCTCCCCCCGCCCTGCGAGGCCCCCACCCACCCTCGCTCGCTCCCGTCCCTCCCTCACCTTTTGCGGCCGGTTGAAGTAGCTGAGCTCCGGMGGCCCTTCCCGCCTGGGCGGGACGAAGCTGAAGGCGGAGAAGGCGTTGAGGGCAATCCTCCCCCTCCCCGGCGCGTAGCCGAGCGCCTCCTCTGCCAGGCGGGTCCCGGCGCCGCCCGCCGTGCTGGGGGTGGGGGCGGCCATGCTGCCCAGCGTTACCCGGCGACACCGCGCCCTGAGGGCACCGCCGCGGCCTGGGCTCGGCTCTGGGGAATCGGGGCGTTCCACAGAGCCCCGCCAAGCCCGAAATGTGCATTCCCGGTCACCTGGGCCTAGGGTTTTGGTGGTGGTGTGTAGCGGCTGCAGTTCCCTGGTCCTTTGTGTTCTTGGAAGGTGGGGAAGAAAGTTAGAGCAAAGCCTGGCTGAAAGGGAATGACTTTTTTTGCTGTGACAGGTTGCACTAATCACCAGATCCCTTTTTTAGTGTATCAGTTGAGTAAAACCACAGCACAGCAAGGAATTTCCACCGAAATAAAATGCCAGAGTCTTGAGGAGCTTGGGCTTCTGTCTTTGGGAGCAGCTTACCTATTTGGGCGCAGATTTTCACACACTTCTTGARCTCCATTAGGCTGGTGCTSTGACCACTTCCCTGGGGAGATGTTCCARTGCCCAACACCCTCTGGGTGAAGAACTTTTTTCTAATATCCCACCTAAACCTCCCCTGACACAACTTCAGGCCATTTCYTCAGGTCCTGTCACTCACCAGCACAAAGAAGAGATCAGTGTYTGCCCCTCTCCCCTTACAAGGAGATTGTAGACTGTGATGAGATCTCCTTTCAGTCTCCTCCAGGGAACAGACCAAGTGACCTCAGCCGCTCCTCATGTGGCTTTCCCTCCAGGCTCTTCACCATCTTTGTTGCCCTCCTCTGGATGCTCTCTATAAGCTTCATGTCTTTTTTACAYTGTGGCACCCAAAGCTGCCCCCAGCCCTTGAGGTGAGGCMGCCCCAGGTCAGAGCAGAGCGGGACAATCCCCTCCCTTGCCCGGCTGGCGATGCTGTGCCTGATGCCCCCAGGACAGGGCTGTCCCTCCTGGCTKCCAGGGCRYTSCTGGCTCATGTTYAAYCTGCCATTGACCAGGACCCCCAGATTCCTTTCTGCAGCACTGCTTTCCAGCATCTCATTCCCTGGGTTGTATGTACAACTGGGGTTGACCCATCCCAGGTGCAGAGTCCCGCATGGGATGCTCAGCCATTTCAGGCAATGCAGTTGGAAAATTCTCTTACACACTCGTGTTGGGAAAACTGAAAATAAGTGTCTCCTGGGTGTAAATCTCAGACTGACTGTAAAACTGCTCTGCCCTAGTAGCACCTGGCTCCTATTTTTGTCATTCACTCATGGTTATCCTGGTTTAATAGATATATGTAACTTCTTGCTGTGTGCCTTAGGGATCTGCAAGTGGCTTGGTTTAGTTTGCCTTTAAGTTCTGTAACCACAGTTGTAGAAATACTGTTCTGTAGGCACAGCATTACCATTGTTATTGCTACTTGTACCTTTTGGTAAGCATCTTTCACAATTGCACTCTCCCAGGCATCTTTAATTTTACTGAACACCCAAAATTTATTTAAAATCCCACAACATTCAGAGTACCAGAAATCTTCATAACTGGTTGTTTCAGGGATCTTGGAACCAGGCAATAATTCAGGCTTACAAAAGTCTCATCCGTATTATGTAGCTGCCACTCTCTCATCACTAATCCACTGAATAACACAGACTCCTGATTCTTTGCAAGTGTAGCATGGAGGCTTTATAATCTGCAGACTWGTGTGGGTGGTTTTTTTAATCATTTGTGACAATTTCCATCTGCTTATCTAATAATGTCCCTCTACCAATTAAGATCTTCTTCTTTCTGTAGCTTGAGCCAAATTAGCACAGTGTAAGCGAGCAGTGGAATTGAAAATCCAACAGCTGCCTTACATCAGCTTCCTACGCAGAGACCCGCTTGCCACTGTGCAAGTGCTTTTCTGTAGTTTAGTCCGAGCAGAGAGAGATAGCAAGCCCATTTATAAAAAGCAGCTCAGCTGAAACTGCAGCTATAAATAGAGCCACAGGAAACTGTTCGCAGGAGATATCAACTAAGCTAGGCAAGAGCTCTGAAGTCAGATCTGAAAGATTTCTCTCCAGTTTTCTTTCTACTGTTCTCATGTAGCTTGTTTTGATGGACATTAAATTGATGGCATTAAATTGAATTACAGCATCTGGATGCAATACAGCTTGTTACAAATACAGCTTGTTACAAATATTGCTGGATGCTTGTTGGAGGATTTGCCATACCCCACCCCTGCATTTGAAAAAATGAAAAGCTATGCTTTTCACTTAATTTTTCCTTCCCAATGAAGGTATAAATCCTTTTAGAATTATTTGAAATTTACAAAGGCTTTTCTTCCTGGTCACGTTTTGCAGACTTCCCAGAAGCAGGGAAAATTTGCTCCAGTTGGGGACAAGGGGATTTGTTCCAGTTGCAACCAGATTTTATCAGTGTGCTACTGTTAAGTTWTAAAAAACATGGAAGATCAGTCTATTTCCTAAGTAATTTCAATATGAACATGTAAACAATGGAGCAATTGTAGTCTGTATGGTGAAAACTGTGCATTCAAGTACAGCTGAGCTAAGAGGCTGAAGTGTTAAAAGTTGCTTTGAATTTGGTTTCTTAAGGATGAGAAATTCAATTGCTTGCCTTTTTAGAGGGCAATGATATCCCCTCAAGTTCCACTGCTAAGGTGTCAGAGTTTCGAACATGTTGGTATRTACTTTTATAGCCAGAAAGTGTGTCAAGGGCAGGGTCATTGTTCTGAAAAAAACAACACAAGCTGGTTTATGGAATAATGCTGAAAAATCTTCCTAAAAGGAATATGAAGCAAATAGTAATGGAGGGAGGGAGAGGGGACACCAAAGAGACAATGATTACAGGGGAAGGGAGATAGGATGGACACTAGGATAGATGACATATAACTGGACAGGTCATTGATACACARAAAAAACAGTAGCTGTTTTCTTACTACAGGCTGAGGTACTTGTTTCAAACTCCTGTCACTTAGAGCTGAGATGACTAGCCTGCTGCCAAATTAAGGCTTAGCAAGCCCTCTCCTGTCCTAGCTTTTGACCTCAACATATATCAGATTGCCATGTGGTCCTGACCTTCAGCTGAGCAATGAAGAAGAGACAGTCTTTGCCAAATATGTTCCATTTGATGGCCCTTGAAAGAGGCTGAAACAAAAATGGCTCCCAAACTGTCCTTGTTCTGCTTTGGGTCAGACCTTAGCTTTGGGTCAATCCAGTTGTTTCACAGAATTGCTTGTTTCTTCCAGATCCTAATTACTGACTGCCCACCTCAAACAGGAAGATTCTTCAGAAGCGTTTCACCCCTCCCACAGGAGACAATCCTCCATGAACTTCTCCCATGTGAATCCTTCTCACGGTCTGCAGCTCTTCATGAACTGCTTCAGCGTGCATCCCTTCCTTCTGGAAAAGGCTGCTCCAGGGCAGGTTCCCCATGGGATCACAGGTCCTGTCAGCAAAACCTGCTACAGCACTGGCTCCTCTCTCCATGGGGCCACAGGTCCTGTCAGGAGCCTACTCCAGCACAGGTTTCCCATGGTGTCACAGTCTGGTCCAATGAGGGGTTGTCTTTACCAGATTTTCCGTGGGCTGCAAGTGCATCTCTGCTCCACCATGGGCTTCCAAGGGCTGCAGGGACACAGCTGCCTGAACGTGGTCTGTAGGGGAATCTGGTTTGTCACCTGGAACATCTCTGCCTTGTCCTTCCTCACTGACCCTGGTGTTTCCAGAGATGTTTCCTCCCTTTGGCTGCTGTTTCTGCCACATTTTTTGTCTTTTCTTAAATATAATATCCCAGAGGTGATGTTGATGAGCTTGGCTTTGGCCAGCGGTGGGTCTGTCTTGGAGCTGTCTGSCACAGGCTRTGTTGGATGTAGGGAAAATTTCTGGAAACTTCTCATGRAGGCCATCCCTGTAGCCCTGTCCCTCTCTCCTAACTCCCAAAAACTTGCCACACAACGCAGTATAGCTGACTGATATCTGCTACAATTCAGATCAACATTCTGTTCAATAACTTTCTTGGTAAGTAGAGTAATACAGTTTTATACATGAGGTGACATAACTGATAAAAATTGCTATTTGTAGCATTTTTTGGAATCAAACATGAATAATTCTAGTCCAGGAATGTCAACCTTTCAAAATACTATATATGCATTTTTTCCTGTCAAAACTGAGATTTTCATGAAGAGCATCTCAATGGCTACAAATAGATTTGAAAAATACTCMATCCAAAAAATTTTAAACAATTCTTGAATCTTTGTTTTAAACAGAGCACCCTACAACATAAAGGGGGTCATATCTTCATAGTTGCAAACATTGGTAAAATGCCCTTATCTTGCATTTTGACATATAAAAAAATTTCATTGATCCTCAGATCAATGAGTAATTTCTGCCTCTAAATTTGAAAATGCTTAGAATTAATATGTGTCAAGTATGATGATTTATATACCACTTTTGACAAATTGACACAAATCTGCGTTACTTCAAAGAACAAAAAATTATCTCTAAATTACATATTTTATTTAAAGCACATATATCTCGTTCTACATTTATTTCCCTGTCAGAATCACTCCACTAATTTAAACAAGTAATGAAGAATAAAATGAAGAATTCCTAGACTTAAAATTGTCTGGGGTTCACCTGTAAAAAGCTTRAAGGGTACTATCTGCACCAGGTGAAGGAGAATGTGCTATCTGAAAATAAAAAATTAATGTATATTCATACATAACCACAAGAAGGAAAGCTATGTATCAAAGTACAAGATGATAATATCTTTTAACAGTAAATCTTTTGTGATGTGAAGCATCTTGACAACATACCTTATTATTTGTCCCAGTATGAGGTTCTAAAACCAAAACAGGACAGAATTGCAACAGCTCTTCCCTCACATTGCTTTAGAAAGAGGCAGACTGAACTATCTGTGTCTCAGTGGAAAAAGGGAAAGTTTGTAAGTATTTTACAAAATGGAGGAAGTATATAGGAATATAAGAAAATAAAAATGCTTTTCACATATCATAAATACCACAYGATCTCTCTTTAGAAACAGCAGCTAAATAGCATTAATTTATAGGTAATCCAAACTATTTC